AATGGAGCGCCTACTGTTTCTTTAACCGCACATGCGCTTGCAAAAATAGCGTAGAGACCCATCTCACAATATCACGGCCTTTGCTTGACTTGTGTGTTAAATCTCTCTGCCAGGCAACCATGACCAAAACCACACAAAGGAATGTGTCAAACTTCATTTCATTGACATTTTCAAATTTAGACCACGAACTACACACACATCGCCAACAGCTTTCTTACCACAGTAGTTCCTGCTCAAAAACAATCACCTAATTACATACAGTTGAAAAGTTCACACAAAACTCACGTTCAAAAATTCAAAATAGTACATAATTGTATTTGCAGGCACTGTCCTGTTTGCACAACTGAGAAGTTCATGGAAAGCTAAAAGATGAACAATTCGTAAATCATAATCAGCAAATCCTTTTTCACATAATAGTAACAGTAACACTCTCTGGGTTTATCAGCAATCTACTCATGTCCTTCAGGTCATTTCCATCTCTGCATTCTGAGCTGTGTTGGACAATAAAAGTCTCTTTGCCACTCTTCCCCAGTTACAAATTAGCTTTTAGCCTTATCTCTTTGTAGATTTAAGTACACACTGCAATGTCAGCTCGCGCCTTTGACATTACTACCACCATTCCACAAAGAACATTCTATCCACACATATCAAAATCTGTGGATACACAGCTCATCATGTAATGAATGGTCAAGTACGTAAGTCAATACATTTGCCATCTCATTTGTAAAAAAAATCAATAAAATGAAATAAAAACTTACAGAATGAATTTTTTTTTAGTGTGGGGTTTTACGGCGCTCGCAACTGCATAAGGTCATATGAGCGCTCAGAATGAATATATCCCCCAAATATGAACAAACAAATAGTGTCAGGAGAGTTAGAACAATGGTCAACAAGCCTGAAGGCGCCTATTCAACTGTAAACACCCTGCACAATGCCAAAACAGTTTGTGCAACATCTTCCTCTGTGGGACTTCACTATCCTTGGTGCAAGTCTCAGTGCATGCACTGATCAGTAAATCATCTGAACAATGTACCGCCCCATGGACCAGAAAATGTGTTTGTACAGTTGCGGTATGCTGTGGCTATGGCATTTAAAGAAAACTACCCTCGGACTTGGAGCTTCAAATCATGTACAAGTACGATTACCTTGTTGTCAAGAAAACACTTTACCCAGACTACATATTCTTTAAGTTTTAGCAATATATTCATATATGGTCTACCACTAACAACAATTAGTACACTTCTTCTCACCATGACTGTGAGACAGAAAAACTCCAAACAATTTTTTTTTTTGGCATTCAGCACCCACCAAAACACTTGAAAAACTGGAGAAAAAACAGCGGGGGACAAAAAGAAATGGAGCCCTCATAGCTGGAGCAAAGCCCTTCACAAAAAGTGTGGGTCCAAAGACTGACCACCCCCAACAGTGAAACTGATAATTTTCATTACGTGGAATACTATGAAGATAAAACATGAGAAGTTAACAAGTACAATGTTACTGTTAACAACTAAGTCAGTGAACAAATAAACAAATCTTTGATAACTTCAACAGAACTGAGACCAAATGTTTTCAACATTTCATTCAAACTTCAAAACATAAAGACACAAAACATTAAAATTTAATTCATACACTTCAGAAAAGTGATAATGGCCCCTTATATCAGAGCAATAGAATGTAATCAAATACTTTGACAATAAAACACCCCTACCAAACAAACAAAACAGGAACTAAAAGTAAACCTCAGTAAGACAAGAATGCCCCACTTATCCTTTAACTAGTCCACGGCGTTCAAAATCACATGACTTATATTCATAACTTAGGATATGACGGTATTATTCCAAGAATTCATTTTACATCACGCATTGCTATCCTCTCAATGAGAAGTCAAGAAAATAATATACATATAAGTATCTTGAAATCATGTACAGCCAGTTTTAAATGGAGTTGCTTTTCTGACGTCTGACCATCCGAAAGCGTATAACTCGAGGCATTATAAAGTATGAATCTTCTTCCAGGGCGGCAAATTACAACTTTTTGGCTACACCAGCAGCAGCTCAGGAAGATGATTATTAAGGATGATTCATGAAAGAGAGAGGCAATGGCTAAACCTAATGTGTAGTACCATAACCCCCCCCCCCCCCCCGTCAAAAGATAATATTCTTCACTATACACACCACCAAGGTCCAGATATGAAAAGAAGCCGAAAAGAAAAATATATCAATTTCACACGAGGAGAAATACTTTGCCAAATATGAAAATGTTACTAAAATCCTAAATGACCATGCAAAGGTAGATTTTTGGCTTTCTGGCTGAAGTGATCAACTTTTGAACTTAATTGTGTCCATCTTTAAAAAATACAACACCATGTTTCTACATAAATATTAATCTTTTTTTTAAACAGCCACTGCCATGTATAAAGATACTTTATGATTTTTACTTCACAACATTGTTCTTCAATTCAACCCTATCGCAAGAAACATGAGTTACTCCAATATTTCTTGCTCACCCTGTAAAGCAAAATCAAACTGAGTTAAGCATTTTTCCTGCGACAAACTGGGCGTAAAAATTAAATTAACAACAGACAAGGAAAAAAGACACAAACCATCCTCATATTTCCATGTGGCATGAATCTCTTAATAGATGAAAAGACAACTTCAGCAGCTACAGTTTAAAAATACAAGGAAGAATTTTTGTACAAAGACACAAGATCATTTATTATGTGCAACATCTGAAATAGAAATAGTATTATTACACTAGCCTCAGTCATACAGAGCAGGGTACATTTCAGCACCTACCCCCATCCCCCCCCCCCCCCCCAAAAAAAAAATAATAATAAAATAAAAAGCATTGTACAGCATTATAGATGTAAGTGAGACGAAAACTGGTAACTGGTAGAGAGAGGGGAAAAGCAACACAGAGACAGAGTAGTAACAGAGCCCATTTTAAAAAGCAGTTGGGAAATAATTCTTTACAAAATCTTTGTGCCAACAGTATTACAGTATTGGACATATCACAGTCAGCATCTTTAGTCAATGCATGTTGCTGCAGTGTTATACAACAGTCATCAAATGTGATGCTATCTTATGAACAGAAGTAACATTATGGGCGGTCCAGTTACAATAACACACTGCACCACCATACAAAAGAGAGGGGAAGGGGGAGGGGAGACTGTCATAGAAAAAAAGACACTTTCATTTAAGATGGAACGCTCTCATGTGCGTGTTACTCAACTATATGTTTGAAACATGGGGTTTTCTTTAATAAATCCAAGTAGACACAGGAATTAACACAAACAAAAAAAGAATGCATTCATTGAAAGTGCTCCACTCTCAGGAAAAAGACCAATCCTCAGAGGACTAAATCTTATTACACAACACGGCACAATGAATGAAACAGTAAACGTGGTGATAAAGCTTCACAAAGCTCAATCATCGAGGGTGACACAATTTCATAAAGCACAGTTACCATTGATGACGACACTTCCTTTGTGCATGGCAATCATTGGAGAAAGTACAAGGTCATACAACACGTAATATGTCAGAGATGACAGTGTCCTTGATACACAAAAACCACACACACACACACACAAAAACTCAACTGTTTGAGGTGACAGTCATTATTGAGAGTAAAAATATTCATAATAATGAAGACACAAGGGTGTAATCTGAATGCTGCTCTCAGACAGTACAATTTATGTGTCTGCATCAAAACCACTAGATTACGTGTATGATAAAACACAGCCTCAAAGAACTATCAGAAATGTAATTGCTTGCCAAACGTGGAAAAAGTATACATTTATGAATTTGTTGATTATCTACTCAGGGAATAATTAGCTTGACAAAGGGTCTGTCACATTAAAAAGGGGCTGGGAGCCTCCTCTGTGCAAGTAGGCTTTTATATCATTAAAATGGATGAAAAATTAGTCAATAGCCCCTCTAAATTTTCACACACACAGATATACAAAACACTTATGGGTCATGATAAACATACTCATGGCACAAATGATTTGGAAAAAAGGAATAATTTCAAGTGCATATGTACAAACATACAAGTAGCTCTGCCCAAGCATCAATTTAAAAATCACATAGTGCCAAATTTGCAATCATGAAATTTTCCAGTCAAATTCTCTTTTTTTTTGTATAGTGCTGATAAACAGTGCCCACTGACAGGTTCGGTTCACTCGGTTTGGTCATCGCGGGCTAGCCAGATTTTCCTCCATGGGAAGGGCAAAAGCTACCATCGTGGCACAAACCAACAAAACTGATGATGTACTTAAAAAACAAACGCGTTTGTTTTCAAGGCCGCAAGTCAGGTGATCCGTCTGAGGCAGGGGTCTATTTGTAGTGTGCACTGAAGCTGCCAAAAACCGAACCAAACAGAACCGATCTTCCAATGGGCACCGCCTATAAGCAGAAGCATGAAAACGTGTAAACATAGAAGAGGAAATTTACTTTAAATCAATAAAAAGCAAAGTAAATAGCAGTGGTCACTAGTGAGCAATCATGAGCACTGTGGCCTAAAACTACCCCCACCCCAAAAAAAAATTGAAACACCAGCTAGCATTTCATCTCCAGTCCAACTCCATGGATCTCAACACAGGACACAGATCAGCAGCAAGCATAAGAGTAAGAGCTACAGAGGGAAAGCAACATGTACAACACCAGGGAGGCTACAGAAAGACCATGGTACAACTTTGGTAGGACTTGAACATATATGTTTTATCCTATGCGTACGTGGAGAAACACTGCAAAAAGCTTCAAACACATATAACGGGGGGCTAGGCGAGGTTGAAAAGAAGCTCATATTGTGTGCATGCATGTGTGTGAATGTGGCTGTGGTTTTGTACAACTAACCTCGGGGGATTGGAGGAGGGATTGTGTTGGAGATCATAACAATAACAAAATTAGGAGAATGGCCGGAACTCTCAGCTTCATGGGAGTGCTTTCCCTCTATATTTAATAACATGTGTGTCAACTGCGAATATATTTAATTTATCTATACCTGTAAATAACTTTATCTTTGAGTAAAAACTATGTGTAATTATGCGATTGCTCTGACTAAAACGTTTTTGTTTACTATCTGAGAATATAATGGAACAGGTTCACAACCCAAGCATTATTGTACATGAATATATTTGTATATATATATATACATAGAGAGAGATAGAGAGGAATTGGGAAAAATTGCTCTTAGATTTATTATTCACTGAGATGAAATCGAAACTATGTTGATTTACTGACCAAAGGTGAGCAAGAGTAATCACAAAATGTTCTTGGGAGGGAGAGTAAAGAGATGATACACATTTTGTAGAACAACACAGTGCATTGATGATTACAAAGAGAATATGTATTTATGTCAAAGTACACAAAAAGAGGCCTAACTCTAAGTCCAACCAAGTGTAAGCTGAAAGAGAAACAAGAACGCTTGAAGAACAAGCAGTGGGAAGAAAATAACAAAGACACAAGTTTGAGAAAACTGTCAACAAACACAATTGCCCATTACAATAGCTTATAAAGGATGTGCACATTTCATTCTCAAAGGGAAATGCACCTCCAGTAAGCAAAGAAGGAACGAAGATCAATTTTCCATCATGCTCAATGCACAAATATCCAATGGACTAAGCCATAAATTTAGTGATGATGAGAAAAACTTTACAAGACAGACATCATTTGATTCATTCACTGCAACCCACAAGGCTCTATGTGGCAACGTGAGTGATAACAAATGTAGGCGGTCGCTCCTCCAAATGTTCCTTGCACAACTGCATACAAGTGAAATCACCTGGAATAGCATTGTTTTTTAACCTTATGTTACTTAACTATGGCAGCAGTCATTCACTTTGAAAAAGATGGTGTCCCTTTGACAAAGCTTGACAATTTTCAAGACTAAAAACAAACCCAATGCCAACAATATCAGAGGCACAACCTCCAAAAGTAGTGAACATCATGTTAGAAAACAGTATTCAATAACGATGTGAAAGAAAACACACTTATTCTGAGCATGCCCCTTCCAATGGAAAAGATATATTGTGAATAAAAGTCAACAAATCATAATCAGCAAAGTGTGGCATAAGAGCAGAGATAAATGCAAATATCACAGGCCAAGAGGCAATGGTTGGGGTTTTCATTAAAAAAACTTCCATCCTTTTCTGAAACTGCTTCTTTGTCAGAATTCATATTTCCCTCTACAAATCATCGAAGCTGCAAGAAAATGAATAACTCCATTAGAACCTGCTACACAGTACAAGTAGGAAAAAATTGTGGATATTTTTGTTTCAACAGCAATGAAATACTCCTGAAGAGGGGAGATTTTCAAATAAAATTTCTGAACTTTTCAAAGGTGCTCTCTCCTTGCCCCAAGTATATAATTTTTCCATGTGATCAAAGGAAATCGCAAAATGTTTAGAAACCTCCTCCTCTTGTAGATCTGCCCCCTTAACAATACGTTCCTCCACACTATATACATGCTCCTTTACCAAATGCCCAGTCCTGGGATATTCCATCATTTGTGACTGGTTTAGAAAAACCGGGACAACAGCGCCAACTTTTTTTTCTATAAAATTGGGAACTTTTTCCCAGAGCTGAGAACTCTTGAGGTAACAAAGAGAACTACGGTAGAAGACGAAACACAGACGTCAGGACTGTTTGCAACCCGAGAACTTGTTTTTCTTGCTCTTCTTGCGTTTCGGAATACAATGTTTAGTCCCATCCGCAGCCTCAGCTTGAGGTGGCTCATCCTCTATGTCATCAACAGCTGCATTTTGTCTATCCATACTGCCTGATGGTACCACGTGGTCTGAAACTAAATACAAATTTATTTTTTAAAATTGTTAAACATGTGAAAGAAACATTTCCAACATCAACAAATCTTAACTCTAAATCATGCTAGAACTGGAAAGATATTACACTCTCCTTTACAGGAAAGGTGAAACTAAAAATGGATGAGTGAAACAATTTGCAAAAATTGAATTACAGAACAACATCGCAGGAATGTAACAGGAATTCCTGTTTTTGCCCTCTTTTTGCATTTACTCAAACTGGCAGGTTGTGCATTAGTTCAAAATGACAAGTTTCATAGGCTTTCATGTGTAAGTTCATCTTCTCACTTTTGGGCAAACAGGTACATTAGCATGTAGTGCTAACTTGACCCCAAAACCAAGATACTCAAAAAAGCCATCCCCAACACCAGTCCTCACCCGCGTGTGCTTCAAGTTGACATTTTAAAAGGTACAGTGCAACTTATGATAAGTCTTTGAATAATGGCCAGCCAAATCCAAACACTATACTTTTTAAGGAAAACTCCACCGTTACTAGCCAAGTTACTACAATAACAAATCTGTGGGTGATTGGCGGGTGCTCTGGTGTGGTTTGCTTCTTCTTTCCTATCAAACACATATCGTCCTAATCTCCCCCTCTTCTTTTTGATGTTTGTTACTCTCTCTTGTAACAGCTCTAATCTTCTGGCGCTCATATGACCTTATGCAGTTGCGAGCGCCGTAAAACCTCTACTAAAACTAAATAACAAATCTTGCATCGGGCAACATTATGGGTTTCTGGTGTGCTCACACACTTAAATGTTTGGATGTTGAGAGAGTCTGTCCCATATTATAGTTGCATTTGGAAAAATAGTCATACTCACATTATGTGTAAATGAAGCAAAAGACAACAAACCCTCAAATGTGTGATCATGTCTTGTGGAAAAAATCTGAGGTTATACTAATTGCACACAATTTGGTTCAGGAAGGTAAACATGATGGTGTTCACGCTACTGGTTAAAATGACAAGAGGAAGTTTAAGGAAGTTTAAAATAACAATTGTAATTAAAAGAAATTGACGTTTAAAAAAAAACAGACAGTAAAAATAAGTTGTTCCCCCCTCCCCCAGGAAAATCCAAAGTCCAAAGTGAAAAATGCTCAAGAGAGAAACTTTCTAAATACACAAAAATGATAGTTTCCAAAATGTTCACTCGCCGGTGGATTTCCTAAGAGCCACACACATATATAATACACTGCACATGATCTATAATTTTTACAAATTATTGTAATTAAATAAAAAGAAGTTGTGAATGCATAAAAGCTTGTAAGAGAGTTCTTCCTAAATATGGATTTGAGTAGTATATGTCAGCATATATGTGCACAAATGTGGCGTCGGTGGCCTAGTGGTTAGGCTACTGGACTCGTAATCGTAAGGTAACGTGTTCGCGGGTTCGAACCGCGGGCCCGACAGTGTGTCCTTGGGAAAGGCGCTTTACACAAATTTTCCAGGTGAAAATGGGTACCCGGCCATAGACAGTGAAAGACCTTTTCAGCATGTTAGTGTTTTAGCACCTATAAATGGCTGCTTGCATTGTATGCTTCCCAGGAAGTTGAGGTTGTTTCATAATGCTCTCAGGTCTGCTGGGGTAATAGTATAGATTGTGAAGCGCATAGAGCTTGCTGTTGGGCAGGGATTTACGCAATACAAATGCTATCTATTATTATTATTATGTGTCCATGAGAATGAATCGTGTTTCCACTTAACACAGACTCACTATGTATACCATCAGAAAGGGGGAGGTCACCAAAAATGTCTTCCAAAGGCATCTTCGACTTACTAGTAAGGTAAACAAAACTATATTGAATATCCTACCTGATGAATATCTTGGTGATATCAAGCAAATATAATCTGACTTATGACAAGAAATGAGAGGCAATTGATGATGAGGACCATGTTAAAAAATTCTTATCTTGCGTCATACAACCTACTTACCATTGTTCATGAGAGCATCGTCATCCAAGTAGTTCTGGTTCTGAGAGATAGCCATCAAGGTAACATTTTCATCTTCCTCATCATCATCGTCATCATCTTCATCCCCATAGTGCATGGTGTTGAGGCAAGGAATCACAGTCATAGAGCGCAGCACATCCTCGGGGGTATCAAGGCGTGGGGGAATCAACACACGATCCAGCATGCGAGGGTGCTGCTTGATGAACCAGCTAGGGAGCCAAAAGTTTTAGTTTTAGAAAGAGTTTTATGGCACTTGCAACACAATAGGGTCATATAAGGGCCGAAGATTAGAGGTGTTTAAAAGAGTAACAAATACAAAGGAGGAGAGATAAGTACGATGTTTGATAGGAATAAAGAAGCAAACCACACCAGAGCACCCACTAATCACCCACTGGGAGCCAAAAGAGAGAAAAGTGTGGTAAACTAAAGTGAAATGAACTGAATCATTAAATCATAACGTGATGTATTGTCCTATTAGCCCTCATATGCGCTCTATCCTTGGAATTTTACGATTCATTCTAGACATACAGTAAAAAGTCATATATGTTATAAGATAATGAGTCCTGCTGCATTTCACTTTAAAAGACAAAAGTAGCGGACCTACAAATGTCATCTTTTTACTTAAGTCCAGGAAACTGTCAAAAGTTGCTGATGAACCTTTTTTAGTTCACAGCAAGCTACCATGGTTTTGGCCCTAGGAGCTCTAAGAGTCAGCCTCAATTCAGCAAGAAGAAATTATGACCATGGTCACACAGAAAACAGGTACAATGAGTTGACCTAACAGGACAGCTCATAAAGCACTCAACAAGACAGCCTTTATTCTATATAGTTCTCTTCTAGAAATTTTTTAAAAAATTAATAAGAAGATTTCAGTCTTGCCACATATGATTTTGACCTGTGTTGCACAGAAGTAAAAAAAAAAAAGCACAACTCTTGCCACACTATTTCATTCTTTCTTTTTTTGCCACAGAAATACATGACATCTGTTAGAAAGGGCTACTTACGGATGTTGTCTGATCTGCATCAGTGAGTACCGAACCTCAGACTCATATGCCAGCATACCTGGTCAAATAAAAAAAGGAATAAGGAATCAAAATTTTCAGGCATTTTAAAACACCTTACAATTTATTTATTTTTAATCTGAGAAATGTTTATACCTAAGATCAATCAGGGTGGTCACATAAAACTAGACACACTGTCTCTTCTGCCTCTTTTTAAGCAACAAACAGTAAAAAGTGATGTCTGCAAAAATGAAATTTGCTATTAAAAGACTAAGAAATAACAGTAAAAACTTGGGAGCAGGAGTAGAAGGGTGGGGTGAAGGACTTGGTAAAGTCACATTGCTAAGTGAAAAAAAACCCAAAAAACAAGTACAGACCTTTCAGCAAATCAGAGAGCTGGTCCGAGACACCTTCTGGTATACTGTATTCACCCTTTCCGATGTTCTCAAACAATTTGTAAATTGTGTCTCCTTCAAAAGGATACTTTCCAGTCGTGACATTATACCTGAAAATACAGAAAAGGATTACGATTGTAACTGAAATCCTCATATATCAAGTCTGGAAATACTATAAATAGGTTTCAAGTGAATGATGTACAATTCTTACCTTCAATGAAAATAAAACAGTGATTAAATGACTGACACCACCTTATTATCTGTCATTAAAACAAAACTGAATTTTTGGATTACATGGAGAGGTAGCCATTACTACATATGACCTCTTTTGTAAAACAAATGACAAAAAAGGAAATACATTAATGTTGGGATAACATTTAAATAGCACTCTTGACTTACAGGTCCATTACCTATGCTTTAAAACACAAACTTTTAATGAACAGATTAGTAATTCCCACTCCATCCCTGTCAGCTTATTCATCAAACTTCATTATGCAATCAAACAACCTTACTAATAAAATCATCCTCATACAATTCGAAGGAAAGAACCATCAAGGTCAACAAAACAAGATGTGAAAATGGTTGGCTGAACCGACCAGACAAAAAAAGGACAAAGTTATAAGCATCAGTAATAATGAACGGAGTGTGATGGAGGACAAAGCTTACATGATATACTACCCATCACTCAGGTGACAATATGATAGACTCAGATAGAAAGAAGGTGACTGAACATTACTTTTCACAGAAACAGTTTAATACACAAGGACAAATACTGCAAAAACCTGAAACTTTCTTCAGAGGTTAAGGTGTTTTATTTTTAAAAATAATTGAAACCACATGTTTGAAAGGAGAAGAAAGCGAAATATAAAAGTAACAAAAGTCAGTATAAACCCTTTATTCCGGGAATTGCTAAAATTTTAAAAAAGAGACTGGCATTCATTATACTTACAGGGTGACTCCACTTGACCACACATCCACTTTAAACCCAGCAAAGGTTCCAAGACCATTTGCAATCTCAGGGGGCTGAAATGCAGGTGACCCCTGACTGGTGCGACACTCGTCGTTCCACGCAAACCTGTCGAGGGCCTGATGGAAAATGGAAAATCAACACGTGAATTTTAGCAAAGGTATATAACCAAGTGAGGGGCATCAGTGTGATTGGGTTAGCCATAGAAACATCACAAAATATAGACTCAGATAGAAAATGTTTTCACAAATGTTTAATATTACAATATATGGCTGTGTCAAATAACATCCTTAGAAATATACAGTCAAACCTGTGTAAGACGGCCACCCATTGTCAACGAGAAAAGTGGCCGTATAAGACAGGTGGCCGTCTTAGGCAGGACTGATCAAGATGAAGAAAACAAACCATTCCCATATTCTGAGGTCCCAATCGAAAGTAGCCGCATTGTTGTTGTTTTTGATGTTGTTGGTGGTGGTGGTAGTGGTTTGTATTTTGTTTGTCATTTTTATTTTGTTGCTGATTTTGCACAAGGGTGACAATAAAATGAAATGTATCAGACGAGGAAGACCGAGTGCCACGTTAAAACATGCACATGGGTCGCCACCACTCGGAGAACGAGCGACGCTTCTGTCACAAGTTCATGTTGACGTCCTTTGTTACTATGTTACAGACTGGGTAAACAGTGACCACTCATCTCACTTACGATTTGCGTGTGAGTTTTGGGCAGGGCTTATGGGTTATGAGGGATCACACGCTTGCCTCACCAGCAGCTGAAAATTGGTAGCTATTGGTCAACAGTGGGAGGGGCCTACACAACGTGATCGGTTGGAGTGACTACCTAACAACAACGACAGGTGATTGAATTATGACGGCTCGCCCACAACGCCTGGGGCCAATGCACCATGTATGACAAAACGTAATGGAGTCACTAAGGTGGCCGTCTTAGACAGGTGTTATTGTTTAGTGTGATAGGAGTTGTGTGTTAAAATATGGTGCCGCGGCCGCGTTGGACAGGTGACCGTTTTATACAGTTAAATTATACAGAAAAAACGCAAGGGGGGAAATGGAAAGTGTCCGTTTGTACGGGTGGCCGTCTTATAGAGGTGTCCGTCAGGGCAAGTTTGACTGTATTTATTTTTGAGTAAAATAAACACAAATTCTTGTAAACATTGGTAGATAAATGGCTAAAGAATCATTTTTTGATGGGATTCAGTTTTTGTCAGTAGGAACAACTGCACCTTTCTCCTGACATTCACACAGATTATTGTTTAAATTTTGACATCAAACCAGCAGTAATCATTAAGCATTTAATAAGTACATTCTGTATTGATTCAAAGTCTATTACATGAATTTGCTGAAAACCCCAACCTAATGACAGAAAAAAAGACAGGTCCTGTAGGTAAAGTCCTTGAACTCTAAAAAGTTTGTATAGGACCAAACAGAACACGGAAAACACAATAACCTATGAGTCCCATCAGCTTTTATTACCTCTGCCACGCCAAGATCTGTAATTTTGAGTGTCTCATCATTGGTGACCAGAAGGTTCCCAGGTTTAATATCTTTGTGCACAATGCCATTGCTGTGTAGGTACTCAAGGCCATCTATTAGCTGGCGGAAATAGCTGAGGATGCATCAAAAGCAAACGATTCAAAACTCAAATTTGTCACATTGTAGTTTATAATGACCATCCACAAAAACAGAAATATAAACTAAACAAATAAATCCAGATATTTTTAACACTAATGCACCCACAGATGACAAGTCACCTTCTATTGCTAAAAAAAAATCCAAGCTCGATACACAAGAACCGCAATCTTAACTGGGAAGAAACAGAGGCAAAAAGGTTGTTATTTCTTCTGTCAGAAAAAAAAATTAAAAATTTTTTTTAAATCAAGACCAAAACATTATTTTATATATTATATTACATAAATAAGTACAAATGAATACTAAGTCACACAGGAAGAAGCCAAGCACTGAAAATCCAGGCCATAAATACCTAAAGAATGGCAGCATGGGGCTGTGGGGGTGAGGAAATAATAATGGTAGGATTTTAATAGAGAGATAAAAGCCATCAGAGGTTTGCACAGATGAGAATCTCAATAAAAAAAGAAGAAAAACATACAACAATAACATACAATGAGAGAGATTTCATAAAAGGCTAGGCAAATGACAGGTTCTAAATTTTAGAACCTTTTATTTGCCTAGCCTTATTTAAGCTAGCCACTGAGACAAAGAACAAGACCTATGTGTCACGACGCAGTGGAATCAGGAAATCATTAATCATTTTTGGCCATGTGGAGTTATTAGTACCATCATAAAGCTTGTTCATTTGCTTTGCTTTTGATGAAAAAAAACCCTGATCTATCTTGAGAAGAAGTCGAAATATATGCAACTGAAGGAGGTGGGGGACGCCTGGGTAGTGGAGGTAAAATTAGCGAGAAAATGGCCACCAAAGTTTGGTGACTTCCAAAGCTTGAGAGTCTTTGAAAGCTGCAAATTTCCATTTTTAAAACCTTTGATCAACATTTTTCAGTATAAGCCACCCAGAAATGTGTAAAATGGACATAAAAGGTGTTGAGCCTAAAAAAGAAAAATCAATAAAAATTGCCAATGGGCAAAAAATGTTTTTTTCTTCATTTTATTTTGATGAACACCTGATTTCACCATGATACCCCACACATGTGACAACTGGACGAAGATCAAAGCTAAGACAAAATACATTGGGACTGCTATAGCAACTAAACATAACAAGCACATGATGTGTTCTCATTCTTTAAAACAAAATATACAAACAGATTTGTTTTGTGAAAATACAAAATTGTCAATTTTCTACGGCAGCAATACTCATGCCCTTCGACTTTCCTTGGAAAGGCAATACGATTTCCATTCATTTGGAATGTTACAGAGAGGGTTTCACATGAAAATTTGTCTCAATTCACAGGAATAAACAGTTTCCATTTTAACAAATTTAGCTACTATGCATTCTCACACATATTATTTAGAAGTGTTTCAGCTAAATGATTAACATAATCACTTGGAAATGGTTATTCTTTCCATTTTTCACAAATCCTTGTTAAAGATTAGAAGATAAAGTTCTAAATCTCTGTTATTAACAAACTTTCACTCATAACAACCTTTAAAATGATATGTGACATGCCTGTGTAGGAAATGCAGGAGAAGCTGTGTCTGTAACCAAAAAGAACAGCTTGCACTGTGATTTTTTTCGGGGCAAAAAGGGAGTGCTGCTGTGTGTGTGTGTGTGTGTGTGTGTGTGTGTGTGTGTGTGTGTGTGTGTGTGTGCGTGTGCGTGCATGTGTGTGGGGGGGGGGTAATTAAATGGGGGTTTTTTCCCTAGAAATAAACGTATTTCAGCAAAGTACATACTGGATTCGGTATCTAGACACGGTATTCAATAGTGCAAAAACCTCAAAAACGATAATTTCACCCAGTTTTCAGTAAAAAGTCCCACCTGCCCGCCTGCTTGAAGCCACAAACAAATGTATTTTTATATAAAATACTCTCACATTCTCCCAAAGAAGAAAGGGAAACAACAGTCGATTGTTATTGTAACACAAACAGTCACTTACTTACCCATGAGCTTGCCAGATTGGAAATTTTTTCTCAGGCACACTCTCTAACATTTCTTGCAGTTCACTTGCACAATACTCCATAATCATGTACCTGACGAATGAAAATGAAGAAGAGAAACTAAAAATACAACACCGGATACAATATGAGCATATGCCAGCAAACATTATATTAACTTGTTTTTACAGGCGAATTAATTTCCCACATTTTTATCCACAATTAACATGTAATGAAACATCCTTTAAAAAAAAAAAGATTAGGTGATTAAGAAGGGCGAGAAAAAAATTGTAAAAACAAATTCAATAACGGGAGAAAGGAAAACATTGTGTTGAGTCATTGACTGAAAATTAGATCAAAATATTGTTTTAGAAGAAGTTTTTGTTCCATTGAATTCCACAAGAATGTGTCTAAGTACTGAATCTGTTGTATTTTCGACTTTGACAGCCATTTTCTCTGAATTGTGTTTTTCAAGGACAGTATGCCATGAATATCCTACAATCTCAATTACATGCCCTGGAGACTTGAAATAAGGCACAGGGACTGCTCATTACCCATTATTGTGGGTAATACGCTAGTCACTTATTTTTTGTTATAAATATGACAGGGTGAAAGAGCAATAACATAAGGTTGGGGGTGGGGGTGGGGGGTATTTTCAACAATTTCTTGCATCATGAAATTCAAAGACTCATGCTACATCCGTAAAAATATACAAATAAAAATTATAGTGACCCTCATGCCTCAATGCAGATCCTCCATTTCCATTCCCATCTTACAAAGTAAAATATCAAGTAAATTAGTGTTTTGAGGTTTTAGGAATTTAAAGATGAGTGTTTAACTTCAGACAGCTGCTGTCCCTAGGACAAGTTGTGTATTTCAAGAATAACACCTCAGATCATTTGGCACTGAGTCTAACTAAATTCGTAAAACTGGTAGATACAATTTTTTTTATTTTGAGCTAACCAGACCTGCCACCTCAATTCGATTTACTTTTAAAAAAGTATGTCAAGTTTTGTACATTCACAGAATTCTCATTGACTAAAGTGTTAAAAATGGACACTTTTATACCTTTTCACAGCGAGATAAAACAAGATTGTACAATAATCTCTTTTAAAGCATTTATACGCAATTACACAAGGTGATGTTCGTTCTGGTAACAATTGAGTAAACCTCAGAATCTTTACACCAAATATTGCACCATCTAATATCAAAGTAAGAATTATCATCATCACCTTTGGCTACTATATGGATTCTTAGAGACCATGGATGAAACGGTCTAGGTCTGTAATGTTGGGCTGCACCGCCTAATTATGTAGCATTGAAACCCAATATTGGAGTTGGAGCGGAAGTCTCCACCAGAGACTTTATTGTAAAAACCACAGTTCAGAGTAGTTCCTCTTTTTCTTTCCTGTATCTTTCTTTTGACATCTGAAGCCTCTCTAAAACCTTACTCTGCCAGAAAAATCTATTTTTAACCTGCATCAGAGATTTCTCTTTCTTGTTCCTAAATAAAATTCTCTCCATGTCTTGATGTCTATTTTCCATTGCACTGTCCTTTTTCTAGATGTGCATAAAACAAAACTATGATCATTTTCTGGATCTTCAACTTGGGGCTAAATGTCCCGTAAGGACAATCTTGGGGAAAAAACCTTCCTCCTCCATCTCTCACACATGTCCAAGCCAACAGAATCATAGTACAAAAGGTACATTATCATATATGCCCTGGAAACAGCCTTTTGAAGGGCTTCATTAATTGTGATATTGACTCTATTTGATGTTAATGTTAATTAATAAAGCATCATAAACTCCATAAAGGAAATTGGCTGGGGGGGGGGGGGGGGAAGAAGTGTGAGAAAATAATGGGTTACATGTTCCTACCAAGCATCAAGGAAAGCTAAAATTGTTTTTTAGTTTTAGTAGAGGTTTTACAGCGCTTGCAATAAAGTCATATGAGCGCCAAGGGGTGGATGTCAACAGAGAAGTCCTTACAGGGAATCAGACTTACTTTGCTCACCTCTCTAGCTTCAACAACACAAAGTCTGCTTTTACTATCAAGGCACCCCAGTAATAGTGGGTCACAAGAGTGTGACAAACATACAAAAGAAGTAGAGGGAAAATGACAATAGTAAGGATTCGGAAAGGAAAATTGTTAAGATTTCTCAACAGGGTCTTGAATAAAGTACAAATGTACCCTTCACAAGTCCTCCTAAGCACAGTACAGACAGAGATTATTCTGTATCATTACATTAGTCTTAGAAACATGTTTCTTCAAGAACACCCCCATCTTTCAAAAGTTACAATTTTTTAAAATGACAATAACTTATAGAACACAAAGATGCACAGACACTCACATTTTCTCTTTTTCCTCATTGTGCATCACTTCAAATAGGCGTATGACATTACGATGCCTCAGTCGCTTTAGTAGCTGGATTTCTCTGTAAATGTCCAGGCGAAGAAATATGTGAATTATAAATGAATTAAAAGAAAGCTGTGCTCATACATGGCAAAATAATTTAAACTTCTCGAATGAAAACAAGACCTAAATTATGACTTACAAAAAATGGAAAGAAAAACTGTCAAGTCAGAATATAACAGTATTAAAGCTTTTCAAAACAGGCCAACATAAATTTCTCATCAAAATTTAGTATAAATATAACAAAGAGAAGTGGAAAAGTCGCACCAAAAAATTAATACTTCAGCAAATGAATTTGAAAATTGAAATGTGGAAAACATGCATCATCATAGTATTTCTTTTTTGGGTGAATGCATAATTGAGTAATTATGACTCCCTCAAAAATCAAACTTCATAGTTGGCATTGTAAAAAGTCTTACACACCCAGCTTCTATTGATCTGATATATGAATCCCATGCTAGGGCTAGTTTGAGTTTGAATTATGCAACTTGCACATGGAGACAAAGAGATTAAATTACACAAAAGTACATTGGCTCATAGAAGAAATTACAAAAGATCTACCTTACATATCAGGGTAAGTTTTGGTAATGGATCATGCGTAATTAGTCAAGCAAAAATCTGAGACTACTTGAAAGTACAGGTGAACCTCTGTGTAAGACATCTACCTATTGTCAAGGAGAAAAGTGGTTGTAAGACAGGTGGCCATTTTAGGCAGAAGGGATCATAATGAAAACAAACCATTCCTTCTGAGGTCCCACCCGGAGGTGGTTGCAGGCTTAGGACTGCTGTGAAACTAATTAGAATGTTATTTTTTCTTTTGAAAAATGGGAGGAGGGGAGGCAACTTAGAAAACAAGCGACGCATTTGTCACAAGTTCCATGCACCTTAATCAGTTGGAGGTACTAACAATAATGACATGTTATTGGATTATTGATCATTATATGATGGCTCGTCCAAAGCGACAGGGGCCAATACAAAACATCGGACAATGAGAACCCTGATTTGTGTGGTCATCTAAGACAGGTATCCTTTGATGTTAATTGATAAAATATATGGTGGCCACACCCGCATTGGGAGATGACCGTTTTACACAGTGAAATAAGAAATTATATTAATAGAAACACTGCAAGGGGGGAAAGGAAAGTGGCTGTTTGTACAGGTGGCTGTCATGGTAGGTTCAATTGTATAAAAGACAACATGCTATAGATCTATGTATTAATTAAACTAATGAATAGTCTATTCCTATCCGGCGTTGGGAATAGAGTAGAATTTGTCAGTGTTGGGAATAGAAGAATTTGTCTATTCCCAAACGATGTTTTTTTAGGCTAGCCTAGAGACCAATACAGAGAGACTTTACGTAGTCACGTGACCCGTCTGATTCGCAGCGTGCGCCCTCTTTAGCTAGGCCTATACTTCGTCAGAGGGAGTTGAAAGCTTAAATTAATAACAAAATTTTGGTAAGTGTTTTTACGACCATCACAACTGAATAAGCTCATATGAGCACGTGGGACACATTAAACATTTTTCATTTGGTAGGAAATTTAGAATTTTGCCCCTTGGCGGCCGAAGCCTACTCATCGAATTTGGACCACCAAGGGATCTTTAACTTGCACACGAGACCAAGATTTTTCGCCCTTGTCCGAGAAGGCCAGGAGTAGATCTTACCTACCATAAGATCAGGGGTGTGGCTAAAAGACAGCAGTAAGAAGGAGCCAAGGAGAAGCAGTAGAAAGGCTGCAAAAAGATTCAGGATTCCAGAGGATGAGGCAAAGGAAGTGAGGGGGGGGGGGGCAAAAAGTGGAGACGAAAGCAGATGACAGAACATTGCTAGAGAACAGGAAAGGTCGTGAAAGGAGACAATTTTCTTAGAGAAGAAAAATTTCCTGTTGCTATCCGGATTCAAACTCGGGACCTATTGAATGAAAGGCAAACACCTTAACCTCTAGACCACGAGAGCACTCTGAATAAGTTTTGTCTAACAATATTATTATGATTATTATTATCATAAATTTTCCATACACACACACACACATGATGCTTCTTTTTGTGTTTGGTGAATAAGGTCGCGGGTTCGAACCCGGGCCAGGTCAAACAGCAGACTTAAAAATTGGTATTCTGGTAGCTTCCTCGCTTGATGTCAGCATAGTGAAGTTAGTGCCAGGACTGGTTTACAAATCTAGGGGGAGGATTGTGGGTGTAGGGGGAGTGAAGTCATAAAATAAGAAGATGGACTTATAATATCTAAACCAATCACCAATCAGGCATGAATGAAGTTCACACTGTCTGACATTAAAAAGTCTTTTTTTTTTTCACCATCAGGCCAGTGTTCAGCACACTTCATTTTTTCCTCGACGGATTGCATGAACACATTGTTTACTTTTCAACGTGCACGCCAATATAATACAACATTACGACTGAACTATCAGTACAGACTGTGTTTAATAGTTCCCAACACTGGTTGGGAATAGGCAAATATATAAGAAATATGTAGTTATTCCCAACATCGATTGGGAATAAGAACAGCCTTAACTTTTGTCCTGCATCTTGTGCTGAGATGTGAATCTTATCAGCAATCTATTACGTTGGACTTCCGGGTAGGCCGCCGGTGTCACTCAACGTGTACTGTTGGTGTACAGCGAGCAGACCTGGAAACGTGTGTTTTCACCATGAATAGCGTGGGAGTGTGTTAATCGATTATGAAAATAACGCTTTATCTTTTATAGCTTTCTATTTATAAAGTGTTACGAACACATGAATAACCCCCTTTCATAAGCTGATAAGACATTACGAGTAGTTTTATGCCCATTTGAATACTTTTTTAGACGCTCTTGTTGTTATTCAATGGGGTTAGAAAGGTAGGTCAATTTCCGAATGTTTTGTTCTCAAATTGTTCTTTTCACCTGCGCAATGGTATTCAAATTTACTTCTATCCGCCGCTAATACCCTGTTCGGTGTCACGGGAAGAAAGAGACATGCTCTCTCCCACCAGCCAGAGAGCTTGGGTAATGGAGATGCCACGAGTTGTTAGTGTTTCCCTGACTCCATCTATCCAGGTCTTTCTCGGTTCCCCTCTAGCCTTGTTGCCATTGGAATTTTTTTTTTATGTAAGCACGTTGTGCTGGATGGTGTGTTAGTAATCGCATGAGATGTCCGAACCATTTGATTCTTTGATATTGGATGTACATGTGATGCATGACATCATTTGTGCCCACCATTTCTCTGATTATTGAGTTGCTAATTTCGCCTCGCCTGGTCTTGTTTACCGCTTTCCTAAGACAACGCATTTCACAAGTTGTAATTCTTTGCTCCAATGTCTTGTTCGTGGTCCATGTTTGGCATTGATATGTGATGTGATGGGATGAATACGGTGTTGATTATTTTGAGTTTTGTTGTCATGGGGGTGTTAAGATGTTTCAGTAGTGGAGTAAGCTAGTAACTAACATTATGGCTTTTTGTACTCGTGTTTCAATTTCTCTCCTCTGTATTATTATTATTATTAGTATAGGGTTTTACGGCACTCGCAACTGCTAAGGTCATATGAGCGCGCGAAACACAAGTTGTTTACTTTCGCAAAAGTTTGTTGCACGATTGGTTAACTAATTGATTCTAAAATGCTAAAATGTTAAAATATTAAAATTCAGTGTAAATTATGTGATTTAAAACAACTCTTTTAATCTTTTAAGTAACAATAAAAATTTTAAATAGTACGTTTTCATTTTACAATTTGCCATAAAGGCCTTCATAAAATTCAAAATTTTGCTGGGACCAACGACGGAAAAAATATCTTGCAATTTCTTGCATTTATAATATTTCCTTCGGATCTCCTCTGTGAATTTACTTCCGAGGTACTTAAAATAAAAATGGTAGAGTGGGTGTCGCATTCAACGAGGTTGCCCAGACCGGCTAGTTGTCCTCGTTGGATCTGACCTCTCGCTGAACATGAATAAGGCTAAGTAGAACAAAAAAGAGACAAGTTATTATGTTACACGATGTACCAGTACAATTAAAACAGTTGTCCCCCCTGATGACGAAAATCTCAAACAGCATCACTGACAGGTGTTTGAGCTGTGTCCTGACTGTCATTTTTGCATTTTAAAATTTATTTTTCCGTAACACTTCTAGTGTGGAAACATACCCTCTCACATCTAGGCCTAGATCTACATAAAGCAAAGGAGGGAGAATGGATTTTCTGATCAGGGAAAGAAAAGAAAATTTTTTAAGATGAATGTCTCGATATAGACCTACCCATTCAGAGTTCATCCAGTTTCACACAGTCCGCATCGCGTCCCCACCCCACCCACCCCTCCCATAGAAGGCTAACCCCCGCACATCCTCTTTGCTTTGAGGCTCATATTAGGAGGCACACTAGGTTTAGCAATACAATGTGTTAGGAATCGAGGATGGGCCTTGTGCCTCGCGTGAGACTGAGAGAAAAGAGAAAAATTCTTCGCTTTTGGGGCCGCTATTGCTTTTATTTGGTTATCGTGACCTCGTTGAAAGCGACTTTGGTCCGTTAGTAATCTTGTTGGAGCTGATGTACATTTACAAAGAGATAGAGGAAAAAATTGGGGATTAAGGACTGCCTCGTTGGAGCCGACTTCTCGTTGAATGTGACCTCGTTGAATGCGACATCCACTGTATTCAAAAGTATCAATGTATCAAATAAGCTTATTTTTATTAGGTCTGTAGAGGTAGTATCATTTTATACAAAATCAAGCTCATTTGAAAGATATTGGTCACATTGTATAGAAAAATGAAAGTCTTGTTTCCTGACTATCCTTTCGAGCTCCTCATGATGTCTAAGTGGGTCAATTTGTTCTAATTTCATTGCACAGACATCTAGAGCTACCAACTTGGTGTGTTTCGAATGAAACGTACGCCTTGGTTACGAACAAACGCAGGCGGTTCTAGAAGTAAGCCACAAACGCACACAAACTCAAGCAGTGCGTGAAAGTGGGTCCAATGTGGGACCCGAGCGGAACGGGGATGATACTCAGTGCAGCCGGACTGACACAGGACCGGAACGAAGGAGAGGTGCCGAAATAGGCTTATCGGGCAACATAAACCCGACCCCCGCAGGACCAGGGTTAAACTATAATCATTAGGCGGCTAGGTCCAGCAGAGAGCCTTCTCTGTGCTAAGCTTAGGGCTTAGAAGTGAAACTGAATTGTGTGGATCCTTTGGACCATTTGGAGAAGGGAGGACTTCCATTTTAACACTGCAGCGAGCACGTAACACCACTGTGATTGGCCCAAATATAGATGACAATAATGATATATTCCGCCATCTATTTTTGTCATCTTCCGGAGCTTCCCTCACCAGTTGACTAGATCTCACCGTGGCGGGCCGGGCCCGCTTTGCCATTTAGCGCGCGATGGGCTACGTCACTAGGTTTCATCGCCGACTGGGCTGTGTGTACAAATTAGAGGAGAAAGTAAATTTAAGGGTTGGGTTTCCCTCGCCAGTAACCATTGACTAGATCTTGCGGTGTTTGTTGGTTTAAAAAAAATTGATTTATGTATTTTTATAATTTACAATCACACCAATTCTTGTTCCATAAATTTACTTTCTCCTCAAAGTTGTACACACACACACACACAAACACATACAAGCCCAAGCAGTCGGAAATTAAACTTAATGATGTAGACCATCATGCGCTAAGCAACAAAGCGAGAGTGCCACGGTGAGATATAGAGCTAGTCAACTGGCGAGGGAAGCCCAGGAAGACGACAAAAAATATAGATGGCGGAAATACGTTAATCTACTATATTAGGGCCAATCACAGAGATGTGCTTGGTGCTCGCTGTAGCTTCATGTTTCCATAACCTGCGACCATGGTAAGATTGAAAAATACCGGACCAGCGGACTGACTTTGACTAGATCTATAGGCCCTATGCCCTATGTCTCAACTTTAGGAATTCATAATGTTCCCGTTTTTAATATCTTTCAATGGAGAATCTCAGACCGGTAGATCTATTCATTAAAATTTTGTCAGGGGGGAGACCCCCATCAACCCCCCCACTCCCCTCCTCCACCCGCCCCACCTACCCCACTTTCTCGCGCAATAATGTACGAGTGGTCCGGTATTCTTCAATCTTCCCTGCGACCACTATGAGACAGTAGAAAAGTAGTATAGATCTAGAGGGATAGGGGTAGGGTTTGGGTTAGAGAAGGCTAGAAGGTCTCCTCTTTGTCTTTTCTTTATTTAAATTGTGTTTGTTGGGTGGTCGCTCGTTACGGAAGTCCTTCCTTTGAAGTTACTGACATGCATCGTCTTTGAATAGAGATCTAGATCTAGTCTACATCTAGATCTAGATTCCAGCTCTAGATCTAGATCTAGATCTAGTCTAGATTCTAGATCTGTCTCTTCGGACCCGTCTCTTCTGCTAGATTCTACTTTTTATAATAATAGTAATAGTACTAATAGCATCAGCAGCATACACACCAACCTTTGCACATTTTGATCTCCATTGGGTATCTTTCGCAGCTTTCTTTTCTTTAAAATTTTAACAGCTCTTCTACAGAGTGTTTCAGTATCCAACAGTTCTTTCACCTTGCCATATGAACCCTCCCCTAGAACATCTCCCATCAAGTATTTTCCTATTAACTTGACTTTATTCCTGTGAGGCCTGTAAACAACTTGATCCGAGTCCACCCGGTGAATTATCAAATCCCCATCATCGTCAAAAATTTCCATTTGATGAATATGTTCCGCAGTTGTCCCCGGTATTTTGTTGTTGCATAAATAAGCACCGGGCACAAATTCCTCTTGCTCCATGGCACAATCGGGAGAAATAAATCACAGTCCGCACGTGCGACCGTTGCATTCTACAATAATAAGAACATTGAATGTTTGCGTCTCGACTTTGAAGGAAGTGCAGCCATAGTGGCTTCCAGTGAAAACGAGGTCAACTACAATATGGATAGCGTCTATATTTATGGATAATCAAATTGAGGAAATCAATAACTAACAACGAAGCTCCCAAGAAAATAGTAGGCCTACCAACCAGAGCAGCCCCACCCAATGGTTTATAAAAATATCTAGATTCTAGGACCTGTATCTATGCATACTGCTGGCAGTATGTTAGTGAAGAAAAAACAAACAAAAAAAGAATATTATTACTTTGACTCTAGGCCTAAAGGAGGGTTGTTTTGAAAACGCAGCTACATTTAATGGGAATACATTGTGTATGGCCTATCAAAAACGGTATATTATATGTACGTATTATTTTAAAGCTAAGTCAAGAGTGATTGTAAGTTTCTGAAATATACGTATGTATTTTAAAAAACTTAAAAGAAAAAAGATGATGAAGTTCTATTTGCAGCTGTTGTCTATGAAAAGTACACATAATTATATTACAATTCCATGTGTATGTGCGCGTCTGCATGCACTCATATGTGAAAGTGTGTGCTAGTGGGTAGGCCTATGCACTGCAGGCCTATTATTATTGTAAGTATATTGGTGATGGTGTACTTATAAAAGCACAAAGCATTTTGTGTAGCCTGTTATTACTAAAGATTCTCTTGTAAGTGTTATTTTGTTTTACTTTATTTTACCAGAGAGCACTACTGTTCTTTCAAATTCGTTTAATTTTCAGTCTAGTTCTTATACCAAAGAAAATATGTCTACAAAATACATGTCCCTTGTAGACAACTTGCACCAGAACAAAGGAAATAGGGCTTATTAATTCCTAATTCTCTCTCTCTCTCTCTCTCTCTCTCTCTCTCTCTCTCGCTCTCTCTCGCTCTCTCTCTCTCTCTCTCTCTCTCTCTCTGTCTCTCTCTCTGTCTCGACTCTCTCTCCCTCTCTCTTTCTCTCTCTCTCTCTCTCTCTCTCTCTCTCTCTGTCTCGACTCTCTCTCCCTCTCTCTTTCTCTCTCTCTCTCTCTCTCGAGATCTCTCTCTCTCTCTCTTCTCCTAATTCTTAAATCAATTCTATCAGAAGAAATTCATATAACCTAAAGGCACCCTTTACCTATAAAATAACAAAGATTGAAAAAACCAGGCAAGATGTACTCAAGTAGCTGCATATGGGCCTATATAAACTTAGTCTATATTATTATCGTATTATCTGTATCTTTGAGAGGTGTTCCCTAAAGAGAGAGAGAGAGAGAGAGAGAGAGAGAGAGAGGGAGAGAGAGAGGGGGGTGGAGAGAATACGTCTTAGCTGTCATAAATAACTGAAAGTAGGACATGGGGATATTGTTTGCTTTCAATTATACATTTCCACCTCGTTTTTCTAGCTAATGATTGAGACACCCCCAACAAATCGGCCCTCAGAATACTTTTTGTGTTGTGTAAAAACATTAAACAAGTAACGAAATCAGATGAACGAAAGATTTCTATTTTTATTTTTACAACATTAGTATCCCAGATTGGGAAAGACTTCAACAGTACCGACCTTTAATTTGTTTTCCATGAACATAATATATGAACATGATTCATTTTACGACAGCTATAAATGAAGTACATATTATTATGTACATGCTAGAATATTGCATCATGTCATTTGACAATCAGTAATTCTCTGCCTGTCTGTCTGCCCCTCCCTCTTTATTCCACCCAATCTCCGCCACTCACTTTTTCAGTCTATTCCGTAGTTTATGCATTCACCATAATATAGCCTATTAAGATACGTTTATTTTTAATTCATCCAAAAAGAAAAAAATCAGGAAGATCAAAGCGAAATATTTATTACCCCTTTAGAGTGATCAAATACAGTTTTATTCGTTTTGAAGATCAACAAGGAACTCAATTTTTAACACCGCTGGAAAGGAAAAAATTATGCGTCCAAAATGTCTAAATATGCTGGGTCTAAGTCTAAGTATAGGCTACATATAGCCTACGAGTACAGTTGAACGGTACCTCGTATTAATATTATACATCCTCCTCTTATACCGTCAGCCGCGCTTACCGGAAGGTTTTGCCATTCAATGTACACAAGGAACACGTAAATAGCAGAATGAGAAAACCAAGCTGATCAAAATGACACTAGGATATATGGCTGAGAACAAGATATAAGGAGCGTGCAAGGAGTTTAGAACTAATTTATTACTTTTAATCTCCTTGGGAGCGTGGGATACCACGAATGTCTATGTCTGCTCCAGACCTGGGCATTCGACCTTACATGCCGAAGCCCAAATAATGTATTACTTTAATGCGTTCTCTCTCCAAGGCCTCTTTAAAAAATGTGCGCTCATATGCCATATATGACCTTATGCAGTTGCGAGTGCCGTAAAACCCCATACTATACACACATCTTTCAAAAATCTCTCACGGTTTTCTCTGCGTACTGCCGTAAAATGTCCCATAATTACGTAGCTTTTTAGTTGCTAAAATTAGCTTGGTTAAGGGAAATGAGCAAATTTTTATAAATGCTTAGTAGTAGTTATAGTAGGCCTAGTAGTAGTAGTAGTAGTAGTAGTAGTAGTAGTAGTAGTAGTAGTAGTAGTAGCAGCAGCAGCAGCAGAGACCTAGATTTGTTATCATTGTTATTATCATTATTATTATTATTATTATCATTATCATAATTATAATTATTATTATTACGACGCCTGTTTATTATTAGATCTAGATTCTAGACCTAAGAGATTTCACGACAATAATTAGTTCTTCAAAGCTAATACTGCCACAGCGGCAACGAGCAAAAATCTGGATACAACACTGACCTCTTCTCTACTGGTTGAAGTTTCGCTTTCATAATCCTACATCTCATACACAGATTATCTCCGGAGGCGCTGCAAGTTCAAGTGATACAAATGTTGTCAAGACGTATCGTGCAGGTGAAAAGAACTTTGTTCATGCTGTTGATTAGGTGTTGTTTTTTTTCTTTTGATGAAGGGATTTAGATCTAGATCTAGCTAAATTTTAGATCTAACGGGTTAACATGGCAGTGTTACGTTACACAATAGACTGTAGATCTATCTCGAGTCTAAGTAAGACCAAAGATAGATTCTAGTCTCTAGATCTAGAATATAGATATAGATCTAGATTCTAGTACATAACAAGGTGGGCCACTCAGCCAAAAAAGTGTCCGCAGGAAGTTCGCTCTTTGCTTCAGGAAAGTTGCTATTCTCACCCGCCCGGAAGTCTCTCTGTCTCTTTCTGAATACTGTCTATCGGTGTGGACGATCAAATTGACCAAAACAAAGTTAAAAAATGATGTTAAAACACAAAAGTAAATTAATTTGGTTGTCTACAAAGATGCTACGGCTATTTAACTTTTCGAATCGAGCCGAACTACGCAGGTCGCCATTTTGTTTTGCCCGGAAATTCTCGAATCTCGCGCTACTCCTCTCTCTCTTTCTCTCTCTCTCTCCACTGCCCACAGACACAATTGTTTAATTGTTTAATTGTACGCTTTTAGTAGGCTACAGTTGTAATGGAACGTTTGTTCACGGAACAGAATTCTACAATTTTTCCGTTATCACAGTGTAGAATTTTTTCTGTGGTTTAGGGTGAACGCAAAATTTGGTGAACGCGCACCGGGTGAGAATAGCCACAAGACTCGCCTGCACTATTCTCACTCCGGGTGAGAATAGAGGTGGCCTTGCTTCAGATGGCGCTGCAGTCTGTTTTGAAGCTCTCTTTAGTTTTTTCAGAAGAAGAATAGGAATAGCACCTCCTTGCGTGCGCAGATCGACTGCTGTTCATCAGCAGTTCGGGTTCGTTCAGTGCGGAGTTTTAGGGTTTTTAACTATTTTTAAAATTTTAATCACCTCTCGTCTTTCATTCTTAAGTCAAATTAAACAAAGAAAACAATCACCCTTTCCTCCGGAATTGTTTTTTTTGTCAGCGTAACCATTTTAAAAAAGCATTCTTCCCAAATTTATTCAAAAACTTGCTAGAGTTTCACTTTGATTTTTTAAACTCAAGTAGGGTAACTCTGTTCGCAAAGGGCGCGCTTTTGCGAAGAGGGTGCCACCGAATTTTGAGGACACTTTTTTAATTGGCTCAAAGAGAGAAGTGGCCCCTCTTCTTATGTAGACTCTTTGGTAAGACGTAAGAGTTTACTTTTTCGGTAGGTCCCACCCCGCAACTTTTATTGGCCGGTTTTGGCCCCAAGAGGGGGGGTTTCAGGGGGGCTTATGACATACTGGTAACATGAATGCATTTGCCTTATTTTTTATTTTCAATGAAAGCAGAGAGCCATCCATTCATGTTAGTTTGAAACTGTAGAGTTTTTTTGTGTGATTAATTTGTGTGGAGGGGGGAGGGCAACCAATTAAAAATCAGTGGGCAATGTCATGCATAGTGATTCCAGCAACCCCATATTTTTATCCCCTCAACTTAATGGAAGCATATCAAAAGGAAGAACTCCAGCGATGCTCATATTTTGATATTGAACTGCAAAGAGATGCAAAATGTACCCACTTCAGGATTTACCAAACTTGGTGCTCATGTTTTAACCTAACCTTGTCATATTGTCAGTTTTGGCTGGTATAACTGTTCTTCAAACATTTCTTGAGATACAGATATGTGAACAAACCCTACAGTGAAACTTGGAATATAATGAAGTTGGTTTTTTTCATATATTTGATTTTATTTAGATTTGTGAGTTAAATCTTAACTCTTTCCATTTCAGGCTGCTTTGAAAGCATGCAGTATCCAAAAGAAAAATGCCATGATACACACATCTGTCATCCAAAATCTGCCCATGGTTCCTATAGTTATTGAGCAGACAGGACGAGGAGAGAGAGCTTACGATATATATTCCAGACTACTCAAGGAAAGGATTATCTGTGTTATGGGACCTGTAAGTTGTAAAATTATTCTTTAAATCTTATGTGTGTCTTATTGATTTATTGTAAAGTATTCTACCTTTACTTTTTGCCATAATTGAATAAAATTTTCTTTAATATTATTTGTAATATCGGAGCATCAGACTGCTTTAAAGCACACATACTGGTGACACTCCAATTAGTTGTACACCTCAAGATATTGCATTTATGTAATGTGATTTGACTGCCATAGGAGAGGGAATACTGATGGAGCAGTTGAACAACTGTTTATCGTCGGGTAAAAGAAAGAAGGCATTCAGCTTTTGTGGGGCTGAAGTATACAGATGTATTGGGAAAGCCTTTTTTAGCCTTACATCAACTGAGATATTTGGTTCACATGAAGTTATGCTCCCATCTACAAGAAAGTCAATGTCAATTGATTTTAGACTTGAAAAAAATTAGCAATTTTTGTTAACTCTTTCTGGACGTATCGCCGATATATCGGCGCGATTCCACACCCCTCGCGGACGTATTGCCGATATATATCGGCTGTGATAGGGTGCCTCAGTATTGTTTCGTTTTAACACGATCCGTCTTTTATAATTACTTTATATTGCTATTGAAAAACTCGGAAAGGATTTGATTTAGGAAACGAAAATATCACGTTTCACTTTGTCAAAGTGTGGGTTTGGGGAAAAACGAGTGAATTAGTTCTTGCGGTCTTGCATCAACAAAACGATGTAACCGGACTCGGAATAAATTTCATAACTCAAACAAAAATTGGAATATTGCTTTCAAATGAAAAGCTGCGCAGTCAGAAATTTATGGATTTTTTTGCTCTTGGCCTGTATATGATAAGATAGCTATGCTGATTTGCTTTCACATGTTTGGTGAATGTAATTTTTTCCATCAAAATGTATTTTTCTCATCACCATCGCCATTTCTAACCCTTTTAATGCATATTATGCTCAAAATTAATCCTTGTTTCATATTGGGATGTATTCCTCATTCAATTTCCTTCAATTTGATATATCATATGTTACGTTTTGAGTGATGGTTATGCTTCTATGAAGTTATTTTGTACACCACCTGCATAGCCAGATCGAGCCACAAGTTAATTATGTCTAGACCCCAAAAAAACTACGTCTGGAAAGAGTTAAACATTTTATAGACTCCCAATGATTTGTTAAAATCTCGTTTTTGAGACTTCTAATCTTTTTGCTCTGTTCTCCAATCAGATTCACGATGAGATGTCGAGCCTGGTGGTTGCCCAGCTGCTTTTCCTTCAGTCAGAGAGCAGCAAGAAACCAATCCACATGTACATCAATAGTCCTGGTCTGTCATTTAGTTTCTGAGTGTGGTTTTTATTTTTTATGGGGATGTGGGTGAGGGTGAACTCTAGATCTTTTGATTGAAGATGAAGTGTACATTGACCTATCTTCACACTTACTGGTAGGAAAGTGTGTTTTTTGGGGGGGGGTTTTACTGTTTGCTTTCTTTTTCTTTCTTTTTTTCTACACCATATAAATGTCATTGATGGTGGACTAGATTCTTCAGTCCATAATGCTATTCGTTTTTCTCTACAATACTGTCATTGTCACAAGGGTATATGAGATCATAGAATCTTCTGTTTGCGTTTGTGATTTCTCAGTGCAGGAAAGTTTTGCCAAATTCAATTTGTCTAATGCTTCCTTGAAAATGTTCATGCTGTGCAAAATTGATGAGTGTTGCATTACATATTCATACTGTATTTTTTTGGTTGTTACAATATAAATATCATAGCCCTTGTGATAAGACAGACTAACCCACCAAGTATTTGAAGTATCAATCAGTAGTAAATTGTCCATTTCGTATGCTCAGTCAGAAATAGGTCTGAATTCTGACTAGAAATGCTCCTAAAACATTAAAAGTAAAGAGGACCATTAGGTTGCTGCACAAAATAGGTTGGGTTTTTTTTTGCTTCTCCTGTAAAATTTACCTCTCTGGGGTTAGCTGGGATTATCGTAAAGGTGATAAATAGAAAATTTGTACACATGTCCTCTCTGTGAGATTTGGTAACCAGTCTTAACATATTTTTGTCATGTTCTCTTCAGGTGGCTCTGTGACAGCAGGTTTAGGCATCTACGACACAATGCAGTACGTGCAGCCTCCTATCGCTACCTGGTGTGTTGGTCAAGCTTGCAGCATGGCCTCTCTTCTGCTTTGCTCAGGTGCACCGGGAATGCGCCACTCTCTGCCCAACTCACGTGTCATGATTCACCAACCTTCAGGCCAGGCTGCTGTGAGTGTTTGTCGTACATACAGTTCTGTGAAAATCTGTTTAGTCTGCATCACTGGAATGTGGTGTGTGCGCCATTTCAGAATATCTCTCGTGATGTGCTTACAGATTATGAGATGTCACTTATAGGGATCACATTGTGTTTTCATTCTTTCACTTTTCAGGCCTCTGGATCAAGTAAAGTTAGGAGTGAGAAGTAAAGATTAATTTTTATATTCCTAGCTATCCATATTTTATGACTGATTATGAGTCATGTTTCAGTCCTTAGATTTTTATTTTAAAAGACTCTCTGTCAATAAGGTCTACACCCCCTCCTTGTGCATCATTTCTTCTCATATCATACCATGCTGATGACCATGTACTTTTGAACAGAAAGACTTTTGAAGACTTTAATTCAATTTATGCTTTGGTCAAGTTTACATGCTTGTATATTTTCACATTGGTGTACCAATTTTTTTGCCAAATCAGAGAGAGAAGACATACTATTTTCAATATGTCCTCCGATACACAAAATATAAACTTACATATAGTTTGCATACACACATTTACACTCACACATTACAACACACATTTGCATGTCAAATATGGTTGAACATTAACATAAAGCCTGTGGCATGTAAAATGTTCATGCGCATGATATTAACAAATTTTTGGCCATAATAGTTATCTATAACGCATCTTCTCTAGTATATTTGACTTGTATAGTGTCCTCTCCTCTTAACTGTACTGTCCGTATCCTTCTTTATTTTAAATATCTTTAACTGACCTGGCCTGCTGCTGTCCCCTTCTCCTTGTTTTTTTAGTTTTTAAATCTCCTTCAACAGGGTCAAGCCACTGATATACAGATTCAGGCGGAGGAAATTGTGAAGCTGAAGAGGCAAATCAACAGACTCTACGTCAGGCACACCAAGCAGCCAATAGAGTTGATAGGTAACTTATCCCATGGTCCCAAAGCCTCTGCATGATGATTATGGTAGCATCCGTAGGTAAAATTCTTTCCTCTTATGGAGGATTTCCGTCTTATTGGAAATCAAGGAAGATGGAAGTTCTGTCTTTTCAGAAAATGTTGCCATCTTTTGATGATATTGATGATGAATGGTATGCAGGTTTTCTCCTATTTGGTAATGAGTCATTTATGTGGGCTATCTAGGGGAATGCTTAATTGAGTTTTCATGTCAATGGAGGCAGGCATATAATTTTGTTTGTACATATCTGACTAGACACAATGTAGTTTATTTCTAAAAACACTACACGTTTTGCCCAAAACATGATGCATGGCTAAATGGAAATGTCAAAGGAAAAGCAAGGGAAAAATCTGGACCTCCAAACTATTGACTCTTCAAATCTTATCAGATCAGCCAAGTGCCTCAATAACTGTGTGGTAGCCACATGCAGTAGTTGAAAGTAACTTCACCTGATGAAAAGTGGATTCATTTTTTGCTGTAATTTTTAAGAGATGCTGTCAGGGGACTTACAACCTGGAAGCTCCATCAAGTGTTCTTGCCATACACGTGTTTTTTTTTTTGGGGGGGGGGGGGGGGTGTGAGTTGTATTTTCCAATGTTAATTTAAGTCTGCATAATATTTTCAACATCTTTTTTGTTCCAGAGGGAAGTATGGAGCGTGATCGATTCATGTCCCCACAAGAAGCTCAGGAGTTTGGCCTTATTGACACTGTGCTGGAACACCCTCCCACTGTTGAAGATGAAATCAAGCACTCACAGTTCACGTAGAGCGGTTTCTCCTCTTTGGATAATGATATAATGATCAATTGTATCTTTTTTTGTTGTCACATTTATATGTACAGGATGGTCTAAAAGTTTCCATATGTCATGGAATACTTTTCTTATATAAAGGGTGGTCTAAAAATTTTCCATGTATTGTGAAACATCTTTGTGATGAATAATTCATTCACTGGTTTTCACTGGTAGGGAAAAGGATAAGAAACTGTTGTATGGACTTGGGATTTGGTTATTGAGCTATCACAAAAGATGTGATTTTTTCTGGTGTATGTTGTTTAACGGTTGGGCCCTTTGTCTTGCAGGCAAAAAATTTCAAGTTCACTTCCCAGCTGGGGAAAGTGTTTTTATCAAGTTCTCTGTTTGTCTGCCATGATGAAATATTCCACACAGCTTGGTTTGGCCCCTTCCTGCAGGGTCAAAGCAGAAGGCTTCCGAAATGGATGTTAGTTATGTGGTTGTGACGTAAAACAGTTTCAGCTTGTATTTACTGACTCTTATGGTAATGAAGTGGGACAGTTCTCAGCATTGTCGTTTCATCAAAAATGGAAACTCTTAAAACATCCTGTACTATTGGTCTATAGGTGCATTTTTATAATTATGACAGGGTGTTTATTAAGATTGCAAGATTTCAGTATGGAAGTCGTTTGATGAAAGATCTGAAGATTGTTAGCCTAAATATGTTTGATGTTATGTAATGTTTTTCTTTAATTTAGAGCAAACTTGAAGTCATCGACTTGACTCTTTATTTAGATACCTCCCCCCATGGTTTCCTGGTAATGACACTGACTGCAACTGCATGAATTCTGAAAAAGTCTTTGAGTGTAGCAAGCTGGACCCTATATAGATAAGGCATTACTGTTTCCTGTACTGTTATATAGTTTCAAATATTTGTAAAAGTTTAGTTCTAGTACAGTACAATGGGGATATGGGAAGACCTTTTTACCCTTGATGAGTCTCTCAGCTGTGACTTGTATGATTTCTTCTATTTGTGTTGCTGGCAGTGATTCTAAGGAAAGTGGGTTCGTTTTAATTCCCAATTTATAGTGTACTGAAGTGCTGTGCGGGCTACTACAGGTCAAATCCGATGTGGGGTGCTCTTAAAATTTGGGTTGTTTGGGGAGTTTAAAGGGTTTTTGTGGGTTCTCGTCCACTTTATTGAACTGTGCTCTGGCTGACTCGAAAGACAAGGCTTGTTTATTAGGAAGGCCCTTTCTGTGTTTGAAACGGCCTTTTTCATAATTTATCTATACCAGGGGAAAATGGAACTGTGAAGATGGAGTTCTGTTTGAGAGTGATATTTTGGTGTGTGGACATCATTGTCAATGTGTGTGATAGCGAATGTTATTGTGTATTTATTAAAGTAGCAAAACATTGTACAACTTTAAACACTTCAAGTGGCCTGTACTCCGACAGGGGGGGGGGAGAAAGGGCAAAGATGATAATGACAATGTGTATATAGGCTGCTCAAGGCATGGACTAACTCGGCATTTTTGTCTCCTTACACCTCTTAAAAAAGAGCTATCTGTCTTTGTGTAGAATAATAATATTAATTGTGATGTGCTCTGTTCCTTTTGCAGGAATTATATAAGTGCTGCAGTAGTCTGTGTGGAAGTATTGTAATACTGTTGAGTTGGCTAAAACGGAAAGAGGTGAATCCAAAAACAGCGATTAACCGAGTACGGTTAATCGGAAAACGGTGGCAAATTGAGAGCAAATAGAATTGCAGAATTTTTTTTTCACTTTTTGATCGCTAAACCATAGAAAATCTGTCAGTTTCATTGACTTCAGTTTTACCCGACTCCACTGTATATGAATGATTTGACAAATTAGTACATGTTAGTCTCATCAGGCGTTGAGCGTGCTGCTTAGAGGTTACTATGGAATTCTTTTCATGAAAAGTGTCTGTACTGTACATGTGAACATAGAAAAATAAGACAGATTCTCAAGCTGTAGCACTAGGACAAGAGTTCCTATTTAATCTGCGAAAGAGGATGGAGGAAAGAGGTATTGTGAAGTGAATTGTTTACTGATGTACAATGTTCTGCACTTTCTGCTACACTTACACTTGTGTCTGTATTCTTGGACAAAGATTTTGGGTGAACTGATAATTACCTCTCTATGTAACAATTTTTGTAACATCTTGAATGATTCTCAAAATATATATATTCAGATAATTAATGCCCTCATTGTGATTACTTTGGGTCACTGTGAGGAATCATTTTTTTCCAGTTGTTGTGTGTTTGATCTGAGCCTGTGAGTGAGGTTCATGTAATGTGATTTTGATTTTGCATCATGTTCTCCTGGAAAAGTTTCATGGATCATACGATTGTTGTCTCTATCTTCATATATGGAGATGGATGTTTGCGATCATCACAAATGATTAATATGACGGACAATTCATATGACTTTCTGCAAAGCGTCTGATTAAAAGATGAAATAATTTTTATGTTTTTTAATAGTTTTTTTCTATATATTAAAGAAAGAGTATTAAGTGTGTTAGTTTCAATTAGAGAACTCGACGAGTCTAGATTTTTTATATATGTGCTCCAAAGAAGAGGAGAAGTAACTGGGAATGATGGGAGTCGTTAGCCTAGTGGTTAGGCAACCGAACTTGTATTTGGGAGATTACAGATTCGGGGATTCAAGCCTCAGCTCGGTCGAATGTTGTGTCCTTGGGAATGACACTTTACACAAATTTCCTATCTGACTCAGTCCTTTTGGAGACGGACGTCAAACTCAGAGATCTTGCCTCTTAAATTTAAATAACCTTATAATGTTCATTTTGGGGTTAAACCTCTATTATTTCTCATTTCAACCTGAAATGAATTCCTAGCCCACAATCTGTGTTTAAGCTATGAATGTAAATGTAACTTTTTTTAATTAAAAAAGCCTTTTGAACAGCCAGTTTCTATGTAGAAAATAAGTTTAGAAAAGTTGAAATACAGACGTCATGTTTTCTTTCATTTTGGGGAGGAAACATTTACATTGTGGATTTGTATTTTTAGCACATGTATCTGCACCCAACAAGGCAACCTTCTTATGGGGGACTGATTACCAATTAAAACAGAACCAAATGCCAGGTTCATCTCCAAAATGTTCAAACTTACAGTTGCCGTCCATCTGCATGTCTGCATTTTTCCAATATCCTGTTCACCTAGAGCCTGTCACTTAAAAAAACCAAAAACTGTTAATTTGATTACTTAAAACCTGATAGTGATGAGAGAGTGAGGAGCTCTTAGTTTCAAGGGGTAAGTTACAGAAACAGTTAATGTGAATTGAGCCTCAGGGTAGATTTCGCACCACCATCTAACCATACAATCATTGTCCCTTTTTTGTTGGAATATCAGCAGACAGTTTGAACACCACTCCCTCCCGCACCCCCTTTTCGCTCCTTACCTGCTATAACAAAGATACTGGTAAGTTTATAGTTCATGCAGGTTTGAGTTTGAATACCACTGGAATTTGCTTCTCCATTTATGCTCCATGAGTCGAAGCTTTTACTGGATTTAATATAAAATCCGTATACAGAACTCAGTGTAGCATTTTATATTTTTTAATTAAGTATGAAGGGAACTAGGCCCAACTAAACGATTCAAAGGCAAAGAAAGTATATACTTTTGGCAGGACAAGAAAAATGTTCAGGCTGCACCTGTTATTGGAGTATTAGCCTAGATATTTATATATGTATATTGATTTTACCAAAATTAAGTGAGAGGTGTTTCTTAGAGCAAGCGATGCCTAATGCTACCCCCCTCTTTTTTTTCCACAAATGTGCGCGCTCACACACAAACACACACACACACAAACACACACACACACACACAATTTTTGCAGTTTGCTGTATCTTTAAAATTTTAATGTACGTGTCTTTTACGCTCCCATTGACACAATTTAGATCCTTTAGAAGGTGGGCTTCTGACTCTGCCTGTCGCTGTCAGGGCCAACCCATGCTGAGAGGGATACAACATCTGAGCAGAAAGACCGAGTTACTTGATAAAAAATTTCTTTACACTCAGAAATCGTACTTGGGTCTCCTTCGTGCGACAGCAAAGCGCCTAACTGCTACACCACAGACCTGAAGAAGGCCATGAGGACCATTCGCTGATAAAACAATCGAGCAAAGACAAATGCAGTTCTTTTGATTCTTGAATAGAGACATAAAGGCCTTGAACATTCAGCTCTCACTGGCAAAACAGGGCAAGAGGCAGGGGCTGACCCAGAGCAACCTATTCGGAGAGCCTAAACAGATGGGTGGGTGAGCAGAAAAGATCGTGATAATGTACAGTAGTCTCTGCCTAAGATCCCGGTGCTCGGGAGCAAGGAAAATGCGGGATCTTAAGCGAACTGGGATTGGGAACCAGTGAGCTCCACCAACTCCAAGCAATGTCCCCCACCAAATATGTATGGTTTTCAATTCTAACAGAGTTCCCCGCCCATATCATGATGCTTCATAAATCGTTGTGTTGTGACCACACCGACCAAATTTTAAGAAGATGAAAGGCAGGTTCACTGCCTACAGATGACCTCACCACCACTACCATTTCGTCATCTGAGTATCCTGATGGACGTTGGATCCAAGGCTTAATAATCGTTGTCATCATCATCATCATTATCATCATCATCTCTGTTAGTGTTATGAGCATGATAAGAAAACCTAACAAAAAAAGTGTAGGGACATGAGGATCTCAAGTATCTGAATATTTATGACATGGTAAAATAATATGTTCAGCGTCCTAATGGGCTTCTTCATGAAAGTGATAGATAACCAATCATCGTCATCTTCTAATTGTTCTGATCAAACCTGTCACATTTCAAAACCAACACTGTCATATCATAATCTGGGTATCCATGTGTGGATGTTAGATCCAGTCCCTGGCTGAATTTGCTTGCCTTGAACTACATAGGTTCGGCTTCACCTACTCAAGAAGGAAGAACTTCTTATCTATAGAGGTGGCGTCAGTGATATACTAGTTAGGCTGATGGGTTCAAACCCCATCAGGGGCCACACTGCAACCTTGGGAAAGGCACTTTACACAACTTTCTTTGCTTAACATAGGTAGGTGAGTATGGGTACCCAACTATAGATGTCGAAAGATCTTGTCAGTTTCCTAGTGTTCGAGCGCATAACTCCATGCTTCCTGGAAAGTTGAGAATGTTTCTGAGTGTTATCTGGTCTACTAGGGTAATAATACTTGTAAAGCGCATTGAGCATGAATACGCGCTATATAAATGCAATTATCATTATTATTATTATTATTATCATCATCATTTTATTGTTATAATTATCACACCATCAAGACATGAATGTGCTGAGTGCATACAACGCATTTATTTGAGATAACCTTTCACATAAACATCATGTACAAGTATCGTATATAAAACCTCAAGCTACATCCACATGACACACATAATCCTTTCACAAATTTCTTACTTCTTAGGAATCGCATAGTATATAAGCAAGATTTACACAGGATTACCTAGGAGTAAGAGAGATATAAACCACACCAGTCACTTCTACCTTCAGAGAAACACGCTCACAGAAACCATACATCATTGTACACACAAACTACCATCTCTTTCCATTTCCTTAACTCTTCCTTCCATTCTTTCTTGCTGTTTTCATCAATGTATAAGACCAGCATTGTGATTAAAATATATTATGGGATGATCATCAAAGTTGTCTTGACAATGTAAGTGTGTAAGTAAAAGGATTTTTTAAATGCCAGCACCGACATCATCTACACTGAACAACATGGTTTGTGGGATTTTTGCTTACTTAATTCAAGTTGCATTCTAATTTTCAAATGCAAGAAACGAGCACATATACTCCAAAACTTTCATCTTGTACACATAATTCTCATTTAAAAAATCGTTGACATTTTTTTCATTCAGTTTCGTATCAAGTGGAAATACAGTCGAACCTGTTTTAACGGTCACGTGTCCAAGGCAATCATCTGTAAAAACGACCAAAACTTCCCCCTTGTGTTTTGTTCTACATTATAAAGACGCTGCCCAAGAGGACCACATGCCTAAGATGACAATTTTTCTCCTCGTCAATGGGCGGTCCTCTTGAACAGGTTCGACTGTACTTTGAAACTTTCATCTCATACTCAAGATTTTCATTTCAAGAAAGAGAACAACTTTTCGTTTACGGTTTTCATCACATGAGATGGTAATATATTCTCATTTTGACTTGGTAAGCCTTGGGAAAAAAACGGGATACAAGCATAGGCGAGCTCTTAATTATTAATTCCCAGCGCGCCCAGTCAATTGAATTCATGAAAATTGTATCAGGGCCAATAAGATTTTTCCCCTATGGAGGGGCAAAACCTGCTACTTTGGTACAATATAAGTGATTCAAATCGTGACTTTGAAAAACAGACATGTTTCATTTTGAAGGTCAAAACTGAACTTAGAGATGTCAAATTGTGCCAAAATGGTGGTGTTTGCCTGTTTATGGAGAAAAATTACGGTTGGCCCCAACACAATCAAATGAATTCAATTGGGACTGTGCACTTAATCTAAAGTAATAATAAAAAGAGACTCATTATGAACAAGGAAAGAACAATGTCCTTCCCAAGGCTATTTCAAACAAATGGATTCTTTACATGTTCAAGAGAACTGAATATAATGTGCTCATGTTTGTGCATTATACCATAAAGTGCCCATGTGTGTGTGTGTGTGTGAGAGAGAGAGAGAGAGAGAGAGAGAGGGGGGGGGGGGGGGGCAAATCTGTATTAATTTGTTTGTGTACTTATAGGTGCATGTGGGCACTGACGTGCATGTATGGTTACGGTAATAAAGAGTGTATTTAAAATACACATCTTTTAGAATGTCTGCCTGCATATATCTATGCACGGGAATGTGGACTGGTATCTATATAGATATGCATGTCTGTACATCTGTGTATCAGTCAAAATGGAGATTGAAGAAAGGGAGAGGAGATCAATAGATATAACAGAGTGTCCTACGAAGCCACAAAACCAAAAACAAATCAAAAGCTTTAAAAAATCATGCTAGAAGCATAAATTTGCAGAACATGTTCAATATCTTTGGCTTGGAAAAGAGAAAATGCATTTTTAAAAACTCAGTCATACAAAAGAATGGAGAAATAGTATGATAATAATATTACGCACAGCTTTAATCATTGCAATATAGTCTAATATTTAATAAGCACACAGCAAAACCTGCAGGACATGGACATTTTTTCATGAATTTTGCTGTGCACTGTACGTACGTGTTTTTGATACAAAGAATATACATGTATTTTTTTTAAATTGGGAACTTGAATATCTGATCACTATGTGCATTTTTGCTGTGTGTGTGTTCGCAATGTGTGTGTTCCCTATACATGCAAGCTAAACTGTATTTACATGTATTTTCCATAGTTCAAAAAACATTTAAGGCCTTTGGAAGAAGAAAGAGGAGACCAAATGACTACCCTTTTTTGTTCCCCATCCATGACATCATCCACTCATGCACCTAAAAACAGTTGGGCACGCATAACACAAACACAGAAAACTCTAAATCACAGATAGTTTACACAGTTTGACATTCTCTGACCGATATCTCTTTAATATCTATCTCTGTTAACCCAAATTATGGATATGTCAAACACATTTGTCCATCCCTGATACGTTTGAGTTATCCGTGCTCAACTTTATCCCTTCTTCTCTTTCTCCTCCTCTGTGCACACATCACTCATTGCAGTCATTATCCGTATCGTGTCATAAAGTGGGATAGTACCGGTATGGTTCTTAATGAGAAGTTTTAGCCAGCAGTTCAAGACTAACAGGGTTTATCAAAAACAAATACAAGCTAGAGCGAGGTTTGGATTTAATCTGAGTAAGAAACCTCTGCCTTTCTTACTCATGTCACAGGAGTCACACTTTAAATTAATGCCAACCAATGCAGTCCGTTCTTCATCATCTTAATTCCCAGAGCAAACGATTTTATCTTTCAAAGGATCAATTTTAAGAGATTTTTATTTCAAATTCAGAGCTGCATAATTCGTATCTCTGAGCCTTCATGGTAACAGAAAGTTTTGTTATAAACAGGTTGAATTTTCAGAAGGGAGTGAGTTTTTAATCCTCTTCAGTGTTGGATAAAATTTTTCCACAAATTGGTCAACAACATAGCAGTTTATTATGAGAAAGTCTGAGAGATTTTTACCTCGGCAAGTTCTACTAACAAAAACACATATGCCATACATGTTTGTGATTATCAAAGTGAATTTAATTAATATTATCCTTTCCGGATGATTAAAATTAAAAGATAGAAAGGAAAGTTAATACGACTCATCCCTATATATATATATATATATACATATAAGCCTATATCTCATTTGCCTTAAAAAGCGTAGAAAGGAAATTATGTCAGAGAATCATAAGTAAATTTGGCATAACAGTATGGTTATATATTTGTATGTGTGCGTGTAAGTGCATCCATGTGTACGTGTGGGTATGTGAGCATATGTGCTTAAGTGCCTGCCAATATGAATGATTGTGGAAACAAGAGAAGTGTTTTCTGAATTCAACAGACGAATAAAACTGGCACAAAAATAGCACATAGTAAAACTACTATAACGCTTGTAAGATGTTTTGACAATAGGAAATAATAATCAAAATTGGGTGCAAAAAACAGTTCTTAATTTTCAAACAACGACTGAATACACAGATTATGCAAATGAATAATGACTGATGAGGTGAGTACAAAGTACATTCCAAATGTACATAAATAGGGTACAGGGTGTCTCAAAACCAGTTAAACCATACATAAAGGAATATAAATTTAGTCTTCAACAACCACAACCAGTAACAAGCATTTTGAGACCGAAATCCACAAACCAAAGGAGTCGAAGCTGAGAGACAATAAAACAGAGAGGAATTTTTAAAATTCATTTCATCAAACAGAGTGCTGGTCATAGTTTTTTAAAGTCTGCCTGTGTATCACTCAATGAGGATTCTCTGGTTTAGAACTTTAGGCCCCTACATGATATGAGCTGAGCAACATATTTATATATATATATATTTTGTGATTTAATATATGGATAAAAAAAGTGAGTGTTCATATATATATATATGTACAACATATAGTAAATGCTTAATAGTACTCACTCCAGACATAGCCTTCATTTGGAGACAAATTCTTTCCAGGTTTCAAGTCCCAGCATAATTTAGTAACTCACCACTAGACTGTAGCAGCATACATTAGCAACTCGCATGCAGGCACGCACGCACATGCACACACACACAAACACACACACACACACACACAAATTCTTTCCAGGTATCAAGCCCTAGCATAATTTAGTGACTCACCACTGCAGCAGCATACTTAGCAACACACGCACGCACGCACGCACGCACGCAACACACACACACACACACACACACACTTTCTGGTTGGAAGTGGGTACATTATATCATAGCTTTGCTGTATCTTTATTTCCTGTTAATGGAGTGTATCACGACAACAGATATATACCTGGACCGACAACAGCTGAACAGATGGAGAAAAATATATTTTGCACTGCAATTTGCTTTTCTTGCTCCATGAAATGCCGATTACCCAACCATACCAATTGTTCCAGTCATTTCAGCTTGGCCAGATTCTGTATTTCATGAAGACAGAAAAGTGACTCATACAATAATGGAAGTCAAAAAGCATGGTTCACCTAAAAGCTTCTCAATCGCTCTGAACATAGCGATGAAAAGCTTTGAGGTACTAGTAAAGACTTCAGTTAACAGCAGTAAGGAGGACATCACAAGATGAAACATGGTTTACAAAAAAATGAAAGCAGAAAGGAAGCTGGATTTAACATCTAGCACAGTTTGAGGTGGTTAATAAGCATCTTTGCATCCTTAGCAATTTTAAGATCTGTTCAAAACCTGGAAGCAGTTGTTGTGTTTTCATGACACAAGACGAATGATTGCCATAAATAAATAAAACAAAACTTTAAAGAGAAAGGTAAGACACCTCGTGAGTAAGTTAGACTATCATGTTCTGGTGGTACACAGAGTTCATGAAAGAACAATATCAAAATATTTCTGTAACTGTAAGTCTAAGGGCTGTCAAAGGCATCGCTCTCACACATGGAAAATAAAGTAGAAAAAATCCATCACAATTTAATCTGAAGGTACGAAAATATCCAAACTACAAAGTTCTTGATGAGTCAGCCATTTTTATCAACTATAAGAACCACATGACATGGCTGACATTTTGAAGATGAACACTGATGGAAACTTTAAAATTGCTTTTAAAAAATGTAATTCCTTCCATCTGCAATTATTTGAAAAATTCAGGAGCAATTACATTTTGGTAACACCTTCAGTATACTGCTCAGGATTACAACAACTGGCAGTACAAGAATATATTATGACATAAGAACACTCCTAAACAGAAACTCTCGAACGTTTGTATACACTGAACCACGCCTCAAAGCATTTCCAACAACACCTACCCTGTACAAATGACTAGTGCAATGACAGAACAACCCAACCCACTAAACACCCTTCTTCAAAGCAGATCTATTTGAAAGACAAAAAAAATTAGCTTACAGCATCAAGAAGAACGGGTGCAGCCACGTTGATATAGAGACCAACATATAGAGTTGCTGTCTGGAGATCAACATGCAATCGTACACAGCAAATTACCCCTTTATGTCTCAGAAAAACACAGAAAAAGGATTAGGGTTCAGTGTACAGGTACCACTTACTATTGACACGGTTCAGTGATTTCCTCTTTTAAAAAAAAAAGAAAGAAAAGTTATATTCTGAATACAGACAAGCTTTGTCCAATTCAGTTATGAATAGCTAGCTGGCATGATAGAACCATGATTTGAAAGAAAAAAAAAATCCATGTACAAGCAAAATTTCCTGGCTAACATCTCCTACTCTTAACCTCTCCACATCATCCCCTGTAGTGGAAAGACATAACATTGTTCTTAATAAACCCCAACAGCCAACACAGTACAGCAGTATTATCGCATTCTCATGACCGGAAAGAGCAAACATTTGTTTAAGGCCTATGGCCACAACCTTCCATCTACGATACAGTACTGTTGTAGATGGAAGCTTTGTGGTCAAGGCCAAAATCATATAACCATAGACAACAAACAATTTATGTGTCAATAGAAAATGGAATGATCAGCTTTTGACACACACACACATTAGTTCACACCATTCTTATTTCTACACTTTTATCATCTATCTCGAATGGTAACGGAGAAGCAGCAAATAAACAAATCAAAGAGATTTACAGTCGATTCTGTCCCCTCTCGTCTTCCCTTAAAGTAAATTGAAGACTCAAAAACATGGTAAGAAGATACCAATTTAGGGACCAAATAAAAGAAGAAGAATACAAATAAAAAGACCCCCATGAAAATTTTGTTTAAAGTAAACTTTTTCTAAAAACATCAGCAATACCTAACTGACTGAAACTTGTTACCTTTGGGTGTAACTAGTCAAACATCCTGCCCTAGAGAGTAGAAGCGTTTGCAGTAAAAATAAAAAATAACATCGATTATCCACATTGCAACTCAAGCAAAAGTGAAATAAGAGTGGTAAGGAGCTTTAATTCATTATATACAAACTCATCTGGGCAAAAGACATATTTACTGATGGAGAAATAAGCCCAATGAATCAGACAGAAAGACAAGCCTCATAGATAAAATGTAAAGGATTTGTAGTATGAAACAGCAATGATTTTTTGTTTCAATTTTAGTTTGAGTAAGGTGGAGCACATTAAGGCAAATTAGTCATTAAGTGCAGGAAAAAAGCAAGATAGACAAATTGATATAGCAGGCCCAAACAATAGATGTGCAAGGTACTAGTGACTCCCTCCAACCACTTTCCCTTTTGAATCTCACATACTGTCAGTAGCAATAGGAAAAAAAACAACCGAAAAGTGCAATAGCACAAATTTGTCACTGCAATAACATATAAAAATGCAGTTATCCGCTTATATCACTTTAAGAAAAGCCAGAAAAGTAGTTACTACATTATATATACATCTCTTCTACACTCAGATACTTAAAAGTGTTTTCATTATTGCACAAAACTTTTGTGTCAGTAGGTGGCATTTTCTCTCGACATCTATGCAAACTAATGATCTGCATTTATACCTAAACTCATGCGCTTTCATCCAAACACAACAGTCCTGTCTAAGCTACAATTATACTAAAAATAGAAGAATATGATTGAGTTTGTCCTAAGTCAAAAGGACAACCAAACAAAACCACAAAATGAAAACTGAACCAGGAAGACAGCAAAAGCAAGAAAATGACTTTCACTAAACAAACATAGATAATAATCATGCACAAATTCAAACATCTGGGAGAAAGAAAACATATTTTCAACAAAACGTTGAGGATTTCCATCAATGGAGATTCGGTTTTGATGATTCGCAGCAAGTCCACAGGACGAGCCATGTTTATTATTTAGGAAAAGGAGTAACATCACAAAAATTGTTCAGAAACTATTTGCAGCAATCAGTGTCAGTGTGAAACCCCATGGGTGCTAAGAATAAGATAATGACCTTTCCAGTGAAAAAACAAAATAATAGATCAAATTCAAATGAAAAGATAAACATTACACATGTGCTGATGTAAATCTGGCAGTTGTCCCTGGTGATATCAGCTGCACGTGCACTGAAGGTTCATGCCCTGATGCTGGGCTCATATGGTTAAAATTCTGTATTTATACAACCATGTGTTTCAAAGTGACAGTACTTGCTGCTTGGCTTAAGAGATATGGATCCACTTAGAGAACAGGATTCAGACAAATCTCTTAACTGTAAAGGAACACATTCTTTTAGCCACTATAGGAAAGTAATGTTGTGAGTGGGAGCTGGGAATACAAAATTATGATTTTCAGCCAATCAAATCACTCCTGATTTGGTTACATTAACAGTGGAATTAACAGTTTGTGGTTAAGCCAGGCTTACCTTCTAATAAACAAAAAGGAAAACATTTAAAGCATGCAGTACAAGCAACATTAAGTCATTTTCATACAAACAATCATTTTTCTTTCTCCAAATCAACATCCATTCAGCACCAATAGTTTAGTGAGTCGTTGCATTTAAATATATAAATGTCAAGACCATAACTTTAAGTTGTGTTATTCACCGGCCTTTAGCAAACAACTTTCAGCACACAACCATTATGAAACCTGAGAAACATTTCGATGACCAAGTTCAAGAAATCTATGAGCAACACAATCATTTTTCGCAGGGGGGGCAGGAAAAAAAGCTACTATTTTTGTTCCTGCTTCTGGAAAAAAAAAAGGTTATTGATTTTGCACTGTCTCTGTTACTGGTAATCAGAAAACATAACGTTAAGCATGAGGGGGAGAAAACAGCAGTATAACTCAACTGTAAAATTTGGTTTCTTTCCACATGCAGACTATCAGCTTCTAGAATCAAGTCGCTATTATTTTCAACTTCCTAGGGCTACACACAGCATGAGACTATGAGGTAGCGATTACTCTCAAAAGGGCACAACGTCACGCCATAAAGCTGAAGGGGTGATTTCTGAGAGTAGAAAAATCTGAAAATACCCTCTGAAAATAAGTTCAAAAAGGTTTTTCTAATAGTGGCCTCTCTTTTAGCAAAATTTACTGCTCACAAGATTTTTTCCACATATATAACTGATCAACACATGAAAAAAACCCACTCCAAAACTTTTATCGTATCAACAATCACCGCAGCGCAAAAAGTTTACTTGACCTCATACTTTCTCACTCCTCCTCTCCTTTCTCTCTGTCTTTCATTCTCTCTTTCACCCTCTTTCTCTCCCTTTCACTCTCTCTCTCTCCTTCAATCTCTTCATGTCTTTCTCTTTTACTTCTCTCTCTCCTAGCTTCAGGGGAAAAATACTCTGCAGCAATGTTACTCTTCTGAGGTACCTTTAAAACATATAATAAATCCTTTTACAAGAAACAGATGAAATTATCATTCACTGAAATATTCTTGAGTGAGTGAAAGTCCTGAAATGCTGAATATCACTACGCTATTAAAATACAAACTTTCAACAAGTCATATGATTTAGAAACAGTCACAAAATCTGCTTAGAGTCACCAGCCTGAAACAGCTGGATTTGTTTGTTTAGGCCTTTTGTTTATCATCTAACCACGATTTTCCTCTGCAATAAAAAAATTAATTTCACACTTTCCACCCTAATGTTTTTGTTGTCAAACCAGCAGTCCTTTCGACTCATGTCGTTTGACCCATTGTCAAGTTGCATAAGATTCCACATGTGATCAAAATATTCATCTTTTTCAACATTACAGACTTCACTTTACAGAAGTAACAAGCTCAGAAGACATTGCAACAAATAAATATTTGATCAACAACATTACTTTGTATGCTATCTCTTTTTCTCTTTTCCTGCTTCTTTTACAGCAGTAATTGGCACAATCCCAGCCGGTTTAGAATCAGAGTACGGCGATGCGGGACTGCCGATTATAAGCACTGGGTGACCTTTGAGGAAAAGGCGCCACATGCTCTTGTGAAAACCTCGAACGTCCAAGTCCCAGATGTGCAGACATTTGGCCACTGTTTTCCACACATTGAAGTCAGTTGGTGTTGCCATGGAGATATACACGGACAACATCGAATTCTGTTTCAGAAAAAAAGCAAAGAAAAGAAAAATTTATTGATACTATTTCTCTACGAAAACTAAGATAAAATAAATATATATACACTATCCCAGCAAAATTTCACTTGAAAAATGTACAAACAAATAACCACTGCTCAGAGTAAGCCTTTGCCGTACGTCACTTTTCAAAATGGCGTATAGTAGAGTCGATATAGACTCTTTTAGTTTTAGTAGTTTTAGTAAGAGTTTTACGGAGCTTGCAACACAATAAGGTCATATAAGCTGCATATAAGTACCGAAGAATAGATGTGTTATAAGAGAGTAACATACACAAAAAAGGAGAGATAAGGATGATAGATGTTTGATAGGAAAGAAGGAGCTAACCACACCAGAGCACCAGCCAACCACCCACCAATAGACTTTTAAATAAGACAACAAGTCATTTTTCTACTTACATTAAAATTTGAACAGTAGCCCCCCATAAAAGGCTACAATACTTTGCTGCCAAAAGAAGTACTGCATCTTAAGGATGGTCAAAATGCAGAAGGCTACATATAGGGTCGAAACTGCTTAATAAGACGGCCACCCATTGTTGAGGAGAAAAGAGGCCATATGAGACAGGTGGCCATTTTACAGTGTCATTATAATGTAAAAAATATTGAAGGGAGGAAATGGGAATTGGCCTTTGATACGGGCGATTGTCTTATACAGGTGGCTGTTAGATAGGAACAACATCGAATTCTGTTTCAGAAAAAAAGCCTGTTAGAGCAGGTTCAGCTTTAGTTTAGTTGTTGGGGTTTTTTTTTGGGGGGGGGGGAAGTTGGTAGGTGTTTTACGGCACTCGCAAATGCATAAGGGCATATGAGCGCAAGGGACATATTAAACATTTTCAGTTGGTAGGAAATTTTGAATTTTGCGCGGGTGGCGGCCGAAGCCTACTCTTATCAATTTTGGACCACCAAGGGATCTTTAACGTGTGCAACTTGCACAAGCGACCTCCGAGATTTTTTGCCCTTGTCCGAGAAGGCTAGGTGTAGATCTTTCCTACCAGAAGATCAGGGGTGTGGCAGTAGAAAGGTTGCAGAAAGAGTCAGGAGCCCAGAAGAGAGGGGCAAAGGAAGGGAAGGGGGGGGGGCAGAAAGTGGAGACGAAAGCAGACGACAGAACATTGCTAGAGAGCAGGAAAGGAGGTGAAAGGAGACAATTTCAGAGAAGAAAATTTTTGTGTCACTACCCAGATGAAAAGTGAACACCTTAACTTCTAGGCCACGAGAGCCCCCAGCTGTAGTTTGATCAAGTGGATGTACCATGCTGTGAGTGTTTTCATGTACAAGTAAAGGTTCAAATAGAAGATCAGGAAGATAGGAACAAGAAATATTGCGTAATACAAACATTTGGAAATATGCCCCACAAGCAATGTATCTTTTTGTCATGACAATATAATGAGTAACAAGAAAAAAGAGAGGATATTTTAAGCTACAATGAAATGCTTATATTGAGTGATTGTGGTGAAATCAGCATGTTTGTTATAGGCAATTTATAACAAGAACATTGACAATACAAAACAAACTAACAGAACTAACAGTAGCTCATTATTGTTATACAGTATAAATGATCTGAAAAGGCTTCTTTTCAAAACTACTAAAATCAAGTAAATACTGTTTCCACCGATCCGCCAACATCAATCCCCCCTCACCCCTTAAAAAAAAAAAAAAAGAAAGAAAGAAAGAAAGAAAGAAAGAAAGAAAGAAAGAAAGAAAGAAAATAACAAGTACAAATCAGAACTCGGAAGCAAAATAAATACGACCAAAAAAAAAGAGAAAAAAAAGAAAATTAAAACAAGTGAACTGACCGGTGGTAAGTTATCCGAGATGAAGTTGGGGTCACATGGAGACACAGAGTGATCCACAGGTTGGGCTTGGGATATCAGCTCTGCAACAACCTTCTCGTACTCATCTTTCTTCATTCTAGGGGAATTGCAAAAACAAAAGGAAGAAGATGATAACAATGTGTTCAGTAAGTGACATTAAACATTTTTTTAGCCTCACAGCATCCTTTTCCTCTTATCTGTGTCAGTTAGTTTTTGTAAGAGTTTTACTGCACTTGCAACACAATAAGGTCATATAAGAGCCGAAGATTAGAGGTGTTAAAAGAGAGTAACAAACACAAAATAAGAAGGAAGAGAGATCAGGATGATAGATGTTTGATAGGACAGAAGGAGCAAACCACACCAGAGCACCCACCAACCACCCATTATCTGTGTCAGAACGTACCCCAGAAACACACCCTGGAAATTTCTGAGGCATAATGGTTGAGTGGCGAGACAACACAGGTAAACAAATTAAAAGCCCAGCAATTATTTCACAGGCAGAGGTTTGATGAGTGACCACAGTCATGAGTCCTGTAGCTCTAATCCTTAGTTCCGGTGCAAACAGGATGCTGCACTGCAGCCATCAATAGTAGCAGGTCAATTTTCAACATAGCTTGTCAGGGAAAATACCTCTTGTTTTATTATGGTTCGGACATGACATACTTTTTCATAATGCATGTCCTTGAAAAACACATTTTTGCTACGACGTTCATAGTTCTTTTTTTCTTTCTCCAAGGCTTCATAATCAAAGTAAGCAATTTCCTCACAAAGCAAATGTTTTAATATTGACAATATTTTCAATCCATCCATGCTCCAGAGCATATGATACAGTGTACATGCTCCTCACAAAAAGTAAAACACAGTGAACCTCACAAACTTGTAATAAAACATAAAAATCTTAATTGATGCTCACTAATAATTCTGCATTTCTAACAATAATCAGGAAATTCACTCATTTAAAAAAGGAACACCATTAGGCATTTTCACTAAACCTCAGACATTCAGCAGGCCTGTAGAACACCTACCTGTCCACATCTTTCAGCTTCACGTTACCCTCCGCCTGCAAGGAATGTTTCTTGAAGTAAACTTCTTGGAAATACGGGTTCATGTTGAGCCCCTTGGAGCCAAAATGGTAGGTGCGACTGATGTCAGGGATGACACATTCACGATTCTTACGGATCGCTCCACTTCTCATCCACATGTCCCAGTCCCATTGCTATGAAGTTAAAAAATATAAATAAAAAATTACAAAATGAAGAGTAATCCAATGTTAGAATCTGTGTATTTCAACAAAGAAATTCGACAAATAACTTCTCACATTAATGTATCATTTTTGTTGTTGTTACATCTGAGTTTGAGTTTGAGTTTAAAAAAGGTATATTGGCACAATAAAGGTTGTATTGTTCAGGGAAACTACATACACTAGTGGTAAATTTGGCAGAGATATATTCAAAAAAGAGACAAAAAAGGAACAGGTCCTACATGTTCTCGAGAAATGTGAAACAGACACCCAAGAAAGGACCTCTAAAGTAAGATAATTTTCAAAGCCCTTTACTCAGGTATCCCATTGACTGTGTTATTGAAACATTCCAACACGTGTACTGAGTTGTATTTTTTCAATGAATATAAACGGTGACAGCCTCATTTCTGCAAAACATATTACGACAATAGTGTAAGTCACTGACAAAAAAAAGGAAAATCCAAACCATTCTTCAGCTCCGAATAACCACCGGCCAATAGAAACAAGTACATTTTGACTGCTCACTTCAAAATGGCGTATGGCAGAGTCTTACATTAAGCAGTTGATTTGAGAACAAGAGTATGAGTGCACACAAAGCAAAGAGACACCACACTCAGCAAAAAAAAAAACCCTGGTCATGGGAAATGATCTCTAGCAGTGTGAGCGAAAACAAAATCTACAAACAGTCCAAGGCTCTAGGGGATGGGGGAGAAGAAAATAAGACCTTTTCTGGTGTAGGCCACATGGGCTCCAGCTCTTCCTTGTAGAGTGACCGCTTGAGAAGCCACCCAAGACCCGGCATGGTCTCCACACGGTAAAGCAGAGTCGGGTCTTTGCTTGTGTGCTCATAGCCCTGGTAGAGAAAGAAAAAAAGAGCAAGAGAAAATTAAGTCCACTTGTGCTTTATGAAGAGCCAGTGCAACAACAATCATATTTCATGAGAAATAAAATAGGATAGATGTGACACTGAAAAGAAGTAGAGGGAACAGTTGGTTCTTTTTTCAAGTTTCTATAATTATATTCTATTTTCTTCTACTTATTTTCTTGGGAGGGGAGAAGGGGGTTAGAAATGCCCCCAGTTTTGGATGAGTATTTGACAAAGAGAGCTCTAAAATTTGTGGTTGTTGTTTAAGTAAGAGTTTTTAATACACTTGCAACAAAATTGGGTCATATAAGTGCAGAAGATTAGCTGTTACAAGAGAGTAACAAACACAATAAAGGAGGGGGGATAAGGACGATAGAAGTGTGGGCAGGGGGTTGCCCCAGTTTCAGAAGAATATTAGACCAATAGAGCCAAATCAGCTAACAAAAAAATGCAACCTTAACAACAACCATAGCAGCAACAACAACAACAACAACAACAACAATAACAACAACAACAACAGCAGCACAAACCTGATCATTCCATGCAGATATGCAATATAAGCTGTTGTCCTGCTCCAACAGGTGCTTAGTCTGACTGAAATAACTGTGGAAGAATCAGAGCAAGAAGATTGGATTAGTTATTTGCCTTCTGTGCTGTGATTTTGTTGTGCACACACCACACAGGAACTGCAGAAACATGAAGTCAGCGATACAATGTTCAGAAATCCCCTGGCCATAAACACAAAGGCATCTTGAAACCTGGTATGAATAAGAATCTACCACAGAAAAACATTCACCTTCAACCATTGCAATTTGTAAACCAATTTTTTCCGCAGGGAAAAAAGCCGAAAATGGTATATTATTTTTTTCTTCATTTATCTGGACTGATAAGGGTAACAGAAACAATACACAGTGAGTGTAGGATTGTCAGAGAAACAGACTTACTTGAAAAAATCAGGAGAAACTGTGAGGTCCTCCTCAATCACAATGGCGTACTGAGCATTCTGTTGAAAGGAACAGATAACAATCAATAATTTCATTTTTTAATATGGCGTATAACTTACAAAAATTTTTTTTTTTTTAAATTTTGACTGTTTTTTTCTTCATTGCCATTTATGATTCAGAACTGGTATGCTTTATCAAGCGAGAAACACAAGGAAAATGTTTGTGTGACTGATTCCCCATTTGCTAGGGTGACTGATCAACTAAATTTTAAAAATGACTGACTGACTGAATCAATGGTAAATGTCGTTGCTTGTAAATTATTTGTAAAATTTGTAAAGTTTAGCAATATGACTTGTCAGGTTCTTTTTTATTTCTCTGTAGTTTTGTAAGATGGTTAACAGTAAGTTTGATTGACTAATAAATACAGAAATGTTGTTTTTTTTAATGTAATTATTCTGTTAATGATACATAACAACAATTAAGATTTTTTTTAAAAATTGAGACTAAATCAGGTTATCCTGCTCACAATAAATATCAATAGATACGTTTATGACTTAATAGTAAATAGATAGAAAACACATTCCACATACTTTAACCAGCTATGACTTACTGGGTATAGGTTAAAGGTGGCAGTCATGCTGGCCTTGTAGTGCTGAGATATACGGGCATTCCTCAGACCTAAAGGTGTGTGCTGTATACCTCGGAGACCAAACAGCCTGGTCACGGCATAGGGCTCCTGAAACAACAACGAGCTAGGCGTCAGTTCCAAGTGTAAGACAACCAGAATGTGTAGGCAACTTAATGGGGAAGCTGAGGGGTCATAGTGTCATGTTGAAACAACAACAATTATGTTTCAACAGGGTGTTTTAGTTGTGTTTCAATAAGTGTTTTACGTCACTTGCAACACAGATAGGTCATCAAAGGTGTAACAAGAGAGTAACAAACACAAAAAAGAAGGAGAAAAGATATTTGATAGGAAAGAAGGAGCAAACCACACTAGAGCACCCACAAAGCACCAGCTCATCTCATCAGGATTTGAAAATGAATTGAGAGTCAGAGAAATGGGAAGCACTTCAGCATAACGGTCATTTGATGTTTGGATAAAGTAAGACAGATACATAGACGAAAGAGAGGGGAAGCAAAAAAACACTATAGGTAAACTTGAAGGAAAGTTGATGTTGGTTCGTACATGAAAAAGTCGAGTTTGAACAATAACGGTCATGTTTCACAAGGAAAAGTTTAGAACAACAGCAACATTGAAAAGAAAGGGAAGCAGAAGACCACATCAAAGTGCCCACCAACCACCCACTGTAGCCAGAAAACCAGCCATTCAAATAACAGCTGTACCACTGAAGGTCAAAGACCTCACAGTGAGTAACATGAGACCAAAGCTCAAGGGCACTATAAACAAGAGTGCAGTTCAAAATGAGAAAGCATGGCAATAGGCAAAAAAACAAATTTTGTACACATATAATACATTTAGCTGAATTTTAGGGCCAAATATTGACACTCTGTATATAGAAAAATATATGTGGTGAGTTAACAAAACTACTGTTGCAAGCATTCCAAACTAATTTCATCTTAAGTATAGTTCCTGGAAATCCACTTAAAAACAGAAGCGCCATATGCTTGAGTCACACCTCCCCTGTCCGTGATTTCAATTCACAATAGTTTTATGTTCTCAACAAACACCTCACAAAATGCATCCCTCCCCTAAAACAACCTTTCACAGTTAATACAAATGTAATACTCCATGACAGAAACAGGACATGACCGTACGATCTTTCAACCATTAGCAGCCACCAAGAATAAAATTCTTATAGACAGTTTACAATCTGTAACTATTATGAGACGATATGAATAAATACCTCAAAATAGCCGTCTATAAAGACTGTGACCATCTTAGGATCTGCACCAGGTATGGACAAAAGAGTTTGCAACATTCTGGGGAGGCAATACAAATCGAGTAACTAATCTGTGGCATGTTATAAAAGTTATGTTAACGTAAAGAGAAGCATATTGACACAATAATGGTAATATAGTGCAGGGAAGACGCAAGACAGAGAGACAGAAACAACACAGAGAAAGAAGAGAAGTAGGACCAACAAGTGATGCTCTTCAACCACCCACTTTCTAAAAGTAAAAGAATGGTAAAAACAACAGCTCTATATAGAGCAACACCACAAGAACGTGGCAAATCATTACACAATAAAACATCCTTTCTGATTTCTGTTTTACACATTAAAAAAGATTTACCTAATATTCTTCCTTGTTTTTAGAGTTAACGGTCGAGTCATATTTATCTCACCTGTACAGGTAGTGTGGTCTGTCACTGGCAATGACAGCTACTGGAATGCCCAAAATTTGACTGTTCACAAGCTGATAGAAAGAAAAAAGAAGACTTCATTTAAAAGTTTCTTTATCTTTGTGGGAGCTTTTGTCACACAGAGGCACATAAAAGTCTGTGGAAACATATGTATAATTTAACAGATAACACTAAATTACAGAAAATAACAAAACATAAACACTGCATCATTCTTTCTCTCCAAGCAGTATCACAAAATAGATAAAAAGAGTCCCTGAAATGCAGAGTACTTTCAAGCTATGCCCTGTTTATATGTATCATAAGACACTGTCAACTATAGAAATAGCAACAAACTGAAACTAAAAGTGCTAAAAAAACAAATATCTTAATATCACCCCCCAAAAAGTATAGACATGTACTACAGTTACCAACCAAAGAAAATAATTAAAATCACTAAAATATTTACAGAAATGTGCCAAAACTAAGAATAATAAACAAGCACCACACTAACAACCTAAAGAAAAAAACTAAAACCATCATAAAAATAACAGAAATTTACCAATATTTACCAACAAAAGAACCGTTCAATAATCACCAGTACAAGAAAAATACTACAGTCACTTACAGAAGAAAAAGCATGACCATGACTACAAAAACAAATTATAAAAATTACCTTCTGAGGTGAAAAGCTGATGGGTGCCGGGCCATCACACTTACAAACACTGCCATAGCCCTCCACTTTGCTGCAGAAAGCTTTCCGTCTCCTCGCCTCATCACTGTCAGGCCAAGAGCACTCACCCTCTGAGCAGAGTGTACAACATGAAAAGACATGTTACCTCAAGTTTAGGAGTTCAACCCTATCCGTACGCCCTGGGGTCATTTTGTACCCCCAGGGTTGTATTCTTCACATTTAAGAATACTTCTAGTGCGAAGATCTCTTTGAAACTTTCAGTATTTCTCAAAAAATCATTTTGACAGACTGCTATGCAAGGCATACAGATCAGATTAATGAGTAAATTTCTTCTTTGGGAAGTGGTGGCACAAAGTTCCCCACATCGTATGGATACGATACTAAAACACGACGTACGGATAGGGTTAAGAAAAGTCTAAAAAATACACATTTGTTCAACACTGTCCTCTGCCAGTGAATTTTGCGTGTGAAAATGTGTGCAGGTCTGGGAGTTGTGAGAGTGTTGTGTGTGTGTGTGTGTGTGTGTGTGTGTGTGTGTGTGTGTGTGTGTGTGTGTGTGTGTGTGTGTGTGTGTGTGTGTGTGTGTGTGTGTTTTGTTGTTTATGTTGTTTAATTATCTAACAATGTTGAGAGATAATTTTGTATGGTAAAGTGTTTGGACCCCTCTAGCGACTAAAAGCTATATAAATTATTATTATTATTGTTACTATTATTACTCTATGAATCCAGACTGATCTGGGCCAACAACACCAGAGCTCTCTGAGAACAACTTCTATATTTACAGTTGAACCTGCTCAAGCAACCACCTGTTCAAGACAACCACCTGTACAAACAACCACTTAACACTCCCCCCTTGTATTTTTCCTATATCATAAGGATACTGTCCAAGAGGACCACCTGTTTAGAATGACCACATTCTGAAGCTTGCATTCGGTGTGTGGAAGGGTTTATCAAAAGCAGTTTATATATTGACATATTATATTCTCCCGAAGGCTCACATGACTTCACGGTAACTCCTCTGACAATCTTGTCAGTTTCTCATTACCATTTCAACTCCTGAGACGTATACAGCGTTGCAGCCTGTCAGGTGCACAATGCCATCATTCACACATGCTGTCTCAGCAAACCTCCTACCAAGTGCCCATCAGCAGGAGGATGAACAAAGTGAAAGCACACAATATGTACTGGCTAGAGTAAGAAATGGTTGAATACGTCAAAATTAAAGTGCCCGTTGTCTTTTATTAAAGCCTGAAATCCACAAGAGCATCTGTATTTCCCACCAAATTATGCCTTCTCCTATGATATACAGAAGTGCTGAAGAGTGCAAAGGATACTTTAACCATTAAATAAATAATATATTTAAAACCTTTCTCCAACACCAACAAAGCCATGAAACAAACTTGTCAATTACAATAACGTTTTTTTTTCAAGGAACGTACCTCCTGCAGCTGAGAGTGGCAGTTCAACTTTGACCTCCACCTTCTCACCCCATGCGCTGAGGTTAGGAGCCTTGCTGTGGCCCTCCCCAAGCTTTTGTCCTGAACACGTGAATAAAGAGAAAAATGCCAAAATTCTCATCACAAAATGCATCACATCAAGCCATTCTCACAGACAATGACAACAACACAAGTTTCATCTTTCATCATCATAAAGTGTGCACAGAAATATGATTCAATATATCATTTATCACTATATTTCCGGAAGAAATTTATAAAAATACAAAGCAGTTGGCAGGAAAGAAAGAAAGGATGGAAAAAAAGCATATGAATTTTTTCTTTTCAAAGGCAACAAAAATTATTGTTAGAACAATACAACCTATCATTTATCATTTCATGTTCAGATGAAGTTTATAAAATACAAAGCAGTTAAAAAGAAGGAAAGAAAGGATGAAAAAAGCTTTAAAACTAGGTCTTTTTAAAGGCGACAAAATCATGGTAAAGGTCATAAAAATAAAAAGACTTGGGAGGAATAGTATTACAGCATAACTGAAAAGAATTGTTTTGAAAAACAAGGGCGTAATGTGCCCATTCCTGGCAACTTACCACCTTTGACCGCCACAAAGGCCCACATGTCCCGGTAGCCCAGACCCGTCACCTCCACACTGCCCAGAGACTTGAGGAACTCCCTAGCCGGCCCTTTCAGCTGGAACGTCCCTTCATCCTGTGCATGAAGAGTAGTTATATCATACAAAATATAACCAGTCTGACGAAAAAACGGGACAAACGCAATTTTCAAAGTTTGACTAGTACCATCATATTTAGAAAGATGAGGCACCTTCCAGAGTCAACTTCTTTTCTTATAAAAAGTGATTCTTTCCCTCTTCAAAGAACTGCAGAAAGTGATGCTTTTTTTACAAATGCGACAAAAGCCGTCAAACTTTTTTGATAAACTGTGTCACACTCTTTGCTTGCCAATTAAGCTCCTTTCTTGAGTCACATGACTTTGCTTGTGGTCGATGAAAATTTGTTGGAGAATCTTTCCCTTTCTTATGATTGTAATGTAGATATATCACATTCTGTCAAAAAGTGGGGAGATGACAATGACCACAATAACAATCTTTATTCATCTCACAGGGAGAAATTTGCCTTGATTGTTTACAACGGAAGTGAAATGTTACAAAGGTTAGGTGCACCCACGCATACACACAACAAGACAAGACATCAATTTAAAGGAAAAGGATTATCCAACATAGCTTTCATAAAGCAAAAAATATCAACTAAGCCTTACATCATATATTCTATAGAACGAAGTTGTTCAAGATTATTCAGTAAACGGGTGAAGAACAGAAATACTTGTTTTCTCAAAGACGGAAAACTTGATATGTTGCATTTTGTTGCGAAACTGTTCTTACACATTATGTAAGATCAAACTTGCTCTAACAGCCCACTGTCCAAGACAATCACCTGTGCAAATGACCACTTCCCACTTCCTCCCTTGCATTTTTTTCTATATCATAATGTCACTCTCTAAGACATCCACCTGTCTAAGATAACCACTTTTCTCTTCAATAATGAGTGGCTATCATGGACAGTTTCGACTGTATATCTCATTATTATTTAGTGTCATAAACAAAAGAGTGACTTGGAAAGACCACAAGAATATAGAGTTGTTGTTTGGGTTTTTTTAGAGCATCCAAGTAGAGAAGTGGCAAATTATGGCTGCCAGTGTCTGTTTCAGATCTGGCACTTGAAGAAGAAGAAACAGAATTTATATCTAATGTATATAAAAACTATATTAATAATGTCGCCCGAAAGTATATATACATGTTCATTGTTTATCATTAATTGATTTTATCATTGAAAAAAGAGTCATTGCGAATAGAGTTATTGAGCTGTTCAGTGACAAAAGCAAACACAAACATATCTATTACAAGCCATAAGGCTCAAATAAAGTTTTCAAAAGGGAAAAATATTTCCTCCCCCTTTCAAATACAAGCCTCGATTTCTTGCAAAAATAATACAAATTTTGATATTTTTAAACTTGATCTATTATACTAGGAAAAGGAAGGCTCATTTAAATTTAGCGGTATTCACTTGCAATGATTTTCAAAGCAAGACAGAGATAACTTCATAAAAAGTTTGACCACTCAGAATTATCCTCTCCCCTTCCTTTTTTTAAGTAAAGAGCAGCACACGGACACAATAACAACCATCTAGCTCCAGTAACAAAGTAAGATAGAAACAACAGAGAAAGCGAAAAGGAGTAGGACCTACAAATGGCACCGTCCAACCATCCACAGCAACACCTGTAAGTCTTTCAGCAAACCGATTATACTCGAAGACAAGATCAAAATCACATGCTTATTACTCGGGTGACAAAGCAAAAAGACAGGCATACATTAACGTATATCAAATACATATTTTTCCAGAACTGAATCCTTTACCTTGATGGCAAAAACAAGGATACGTCCATCTGAGACCATGTTTAAAAATAGCACCATGGCATCGTCCTCTTGTTGACTGTAGGTGTCAAACACACGCTTGGCCATAACACTGCCCTGTGAATCAAGAGAGACAGAGGTAGGTTATTATGAGCATTTGTTCAGTTGTGTCGATTCGCATGACAGCAGCATGAACCTGCGAGCCCATGCAATACCAAGTACAACATATTAACTATTCTCATTTTTCTTCTTTTCTTGTACTTCTTCTTTTTAACTTTTCTATTACTTGAAAATCGCTTTTTTTTACATGTCTGCACTTTTGTTTATTTAATGTAGGTGTTTTTTACTCCTCGCTGACAAAACTTAGATAATTTAGGAGGTAGGTAAAACAATCTGTCTCTTCCCATTGTCCCTGTCCATTGTTTTGGTTCAAAGCCAGGTTTCTATGCCCTGTCCCATTCTTCTCTTAGATTTTCCCCTTCCTCTCTTGCCTTCAACCTAGCTGTACTTTACTATAATTCTAAAAATACTTTTTTCCTTCTTAAATTTTGATTACAAGCTTGTCATCATGTTCAAACATGAATTTAGAGAATCACACAGTAAGTCCCATATCAAGTCATGGTGGCAACCATTTCAGAGACAATTTTCACCATCACAGCTCACTGTTTTCTTACTATCGGTATTACAGAAAAATGAATTAACCTGAACCTGTTAATTCTCTAACACAAAGCATTAAATATTACAGAAAATAACTAAATCTCCAATAGTGCAACTGAGATTTCAAAGGCTGAAATTACAGGTGAAATGGTATAGGTTTATCGTCCATCTCCTAGATTTGTGTAAAGTGCCTTTCTCAAAAACAAAACGTCGGACCAAGCTGAGACTCAAACCCCTGAACCTGCAATCTCATGATTACGAGTCCGGTAACCTAACCCAAAGGCAACTGAAATTACAGGTGAGCTCCCAAAAAAAATCCCAATCAGTGAAGAAGGCATAAAATAGTGGCGATCAGAGTGGTGTCCTTGGTAATGTAAACTCCAGGGACAAACAAAGTAAAATACAGTCAAACTTGTCCATGATAACTAAGCATTGTTTAAGAAAACAGTGGTCATTTTAGACAGGCGGTCCTCTTGGATAATGTCATTAAAATAGAGAAAAGAAACCCATGGGGGGGGGGAAGTGGGAAGTGGCAGTTTGTATGGGTGATATTTTAGGGACAACTGGGCATAAGAAAAGGTTCCACTATATCATCAGCTATAACTTAACAATTTATTTAATTTTATTTAGTAGAGGTTTTACAGCGCTCGCAACTGCGTAAGGTCATATGAGCGCCAAGGGGTGGATGTCAACAGAAAAGTCTTTACAGGAAATCGAGCTTACTCTGCTCACCTCTCTAGCTTCAACAGCACAAAGTCTGCTTCGATTATCAAGGCGCCCTGGAAATAGCGGGTCACAAGAGTGTGACAAACATAGAAAAGAAGTAGAGGAAAATGACGACAGTAAAGATTAGGAAAGAAAAAGCAGCAGTTCCCTGTTGCAGTTCAGGCACAGTTATGAGCATGACA